GGCCCTTTGCTGCAGAATTTTTGCTGCCGACGGGTGTAACTCGGGCTTGGCGTCATCTTGCATGCATAAGCTTGTTTCTTGGTCTTTTCTTTTGGAGTTGTGTTTTTTTTTTTTTTTTTTTTTTTTTTTTTTTTTTTTTTGTTTTTTTTTTTTTTTTTTTTTTTTTTTTTTTCTTTTTTTTTTTTGAGGGCTTGGAATTTGGGTTCAATCAATGTACTACTAGTAGTGGATTGTCTGATTTTATATTCTCGTAAAGAGGTTCATTGATTGTTCTATGTAGCTTGGAAAACGATGTTATGCTTCCGTGGTGCTCCGTAGATCTAGCTGTATATCCAGCGAGATAACTACCTCTGACGTAAAAGACATCCAAAAGCATCGCTCGGGAACTCCCTCGTCGGAATCGGGGAATCACGCCATAACCCTGGTCTCGAAAATAGCGCATACCATTCGTGCTACTGACAGAAACCGGCATGGCCTTGTCGGTGCTAAAGATGCAAGGGTGGAATGGGTGAGATTATGGTATGGTTGTTATTTCTTTGGGTGGTTTTTTTTTTGTGACGCGGGAGTTTGGTTACTAATTTACGTTCGATTCACTGGTGTTGGTTTTAAATGGGTATGTGAGTGTTGGATGGAGAGCTAGGTTGGTTGATGTTGGGGTAGTTGGAGTGATGACTATTGTAAAAACCTCGTTGCTTGCGCAAGATAGATGCCTGGCGCCTGTCCGTGCAACGAACGGGGGTTAGCAGTAGTTGATTCTCCGTAGATACTGGTAGATAGGGAGGTGTAGGGTCCACTCTGCTAGGTATGACAAATAGTTGAACTGGAGCCCTGGAGCCTGCATAGTATTGCCCAGTTGAGTAACACTAGCTGTGGTTGATAGGTTGGGGTAGTGTTAGGGCGCCGCCGGTTTTTGTCAGCTGGCTTGCTGGTTCTTCGCCCAGAGACTTGTAGCATTGCAACGGCGTATCAGAACCTGACAGTGATGTGGTAGAGATATGTAAGGTTGGAGTGGTCTGTCTCATCTCATGGTATGTACAGGGATATTTTCATTACTATACACGATTATATAACGGCCCATTGGGTATAGACAATGCTCACGGGATACGTATCAGCTGGATCTCATCCCATAGGCCGCGCAATGCAGCTTGGTGAACGCGGTCCACATAGAAAAAGTTCAGCAGAAGGGATCGCAGTTCCTGCCACGACTGGATTCCTTGTCTTCTGACTGCAGCCGCTAACTCGGTCACGAAGAATGTTCTCTCCGGTAATAGCTGTGAACTCCATGTCCCGATGAAAAGCACCCAGATCAACACCTCCGGGAGCATTTGGAAGAACCCGGCTGGGATCGTGGTAGCTAGCGCCAGGCGAAGGGCGCTGATTGGTTTTGGGAACACAGGGCCGAGCTGGGGGTAGAATTCCCAGATCGTGCCATTGTGGAATAAAAGACATGCTAGCCGGATGCAGCCTTCAATATTCGCATCCCCTTTGGGCTCGCCGGTCTCGAGATACCGATCCATATGAAGGGCGTATTCAACATATATGACCTCGGTGTTGAAATAACCTTCGGTCTCGTCGTCAATTTCTTGGTAGTTCTGGCCGCTCTTCATCCATTCAGCGAACCAAACAAGCTCGGCCAGGTCGTAGATGATCTTAGACATGCCATCACCTAATATGCTAGGTATTTCAATTAGTGAATTTAATGCAGAGGCGGTCTTGGCAAGATCTTCATTGGGAGGAGATACGGTGAAATCAGGGCGGGCGTAACGGAGGAAAGGGAAGATGGGCTTTGTGAAGGCCATGCACGCCACTCGGATGTCAGTCCTGCTAAAATTAGCGATGGGCGAAACGTTCATTCATTGTCCAACCAACCAAGAGATCTGGAACCGGATATCAGGCGGTACGTCTGCAAGGCTGTTTCGCAGGGCAACCATCTGCCTTAATCCGGCCAGGTGGATTTTGAGATAATCGGGGTTCCCAGAAGCAATCTATCTTGTCAGTAGCGAGCAGGCATAGCTTGGCAGGATCTCATACCTCGATCGTCAACAGCGTTGAAACAGCTGCGATTAACGAATCGCTCGAGGCTTTGACAGGGTCTGATAAACCCTCGTTGACCAGTCGAATGGTCTCACCCCTGTGATGAAAGGTGTCGAGAAGAAGGGCACTGGGCCGTTGACCCTCCTTCACCGGGAATTCACCGGTTGTCAGGGCTCTGTTGGAGGCGGCAACGCATATGCATGCGTGGAGTGAGGCAGGGTCGCAATGGACCAGTGCCGTCCAATGTGCCTGTAGTTTATCTCCATACCGGCGTTGGAGCGGGTAGGCAATATGAGTTAGGGTACCCAAGACTATCAAATGTGAGCTTCGTATCCTCTACATGGGCCCAGAGAATTGACTCACAGTATTGAAGATGCCGAGCCATACGATCAGTAAGCCGCGTATGAAACACGTTGAAGGGGTCATTGCCTCCTGGACCCAAATATGCCAGTGGTGAATGCTCCTGAACCGCGGCGAGAGCCTGACTATGCGAAGATGCATCACCGTCATGGTAGCTTTCGGTCAAGGCAGCCACAAAGCCTGGCGCGTCGCCGGCAAGTGCATTTTCTAGAATTGCTCCTTGTTGCTTCGACTGCGATACCTTAAGCGGTACTTCTTGAGAGTCGCCCGGCGCAGAGGCTAAAGGAGTAGAGGCCGCTGAACTAGAAGCGGCGGTTTCCGGCGGCTGAAAAGCCAGGTGCTTCCATGTCTTGCTTTTGTACCGTTTAGTGTTTTCCAGTCTCTTCTTGCGATTATGCTCCGACATGACATGGGAACGGATACGCTTGAGGGTTTCCTCTCTCGTTCCCTGTGCTGCCGACTGGGGGTCACTATGGACCCAAAACAGGGTTGACCGGCCGCCCGACGCATTACTAGGCTTGCGCGGTTTGCGCGACTTCGTTACAGCATTTCTGCCTACATCTTGATTATTGCGCTCGGAAGACTGAGTTACGTTATGACGGGTGGATTCATCGACGAAGGAGAGCGCATGAGAACTGTCCTGGACTGCTGGCGACTCCAACGACGTGTCAGACGCCGGGGCCAAGGCCAGGCTGTGGCTAGAGTCTGAATTCTGTATCGAAGACGCCCAGGTTGCCGACGAGACCGGAGTGGAGTTTAGGAGCGGCAATACCTGCTGGCGATCGGAGGGAGCCGTTGAATGGTGAGTAGAGTTCTTGGCGTCCATGGTGCGCGCAAATCTAATTATGGCACTCGGAGATCTCACTTAAGGATCGTCATGGGGACACGCCGTTTCAAAGTGAGTGAGAATGGACCATGAGTTTTGGGGGGGGACCATGGACGTGGATGAAATGGATTGGGGGAGGTCAAGCACGATGGGCCAGGGGGGAAAATTGCTCGAGACTGAATGGTCAGCGCACTGCCCCTATCAGGAAAAGTCCATCCCTCTCCCAGCTTGATCGAAATCGTTTTATAAGTGAAACACGAAAGGTGAGCTTGGACCCCTCCTTTTTATTTTTATTTTTTTCTCTCTTCCTCTCTCCCGTACGGCCCGAGAGGGCGAGAGGGAAATCGGTTACCAATTAAGGGAAAGATTGGATCCAACACGAGCGGCGGAGTTCCCTTCCGAGAGTGGAGAGAGAGAGACAGACCGAGAGAAGTCGAAACAACGGTCAGATCTTCCCCTTGAATCGGTCATGAAGCCCTCCTGGTCGATGAGGATGGGAAGCAACAAAGAACCCCTGAACAAGAAAATGGGAATTGATTCCCGAGAGGAAGAAAGAAGTCGTCGGTATACCCTGTAGGGCGTGAGGGATCGTCTTCATCAATTCCTTTGCCCAAGTGGACCCTAAACTCAATTCCTGCGATTTTATAGTTTTATATAAAGTCCGTCAGGGATTAGGAATTGTCCAAAGTTGCAGTTGGGTTTAGAATTAAATAACTATGCACGGAGTATAGATAGATAGATATATTTGGCCCTGGATGATGTGCAACCATCTCCCGTGATATCCCAAAGGAGAAATGACCTGTCTAGCCTAGGCTGGACGACCTACATTTAGCATTCATGTGTTGTGCCACTATCGATCTTAGGATCAATAGTAAGCTCTTTTCTTGACTTATAAGTTATGAATACGAAAGCCCTATGCGCCACTTCCTGCAAGGACAAAAGAGCACACGGCTACCACGACTCTCAACACTCCTCGACAACTCACGGCACGGTCGCAAAATCTACAAAGTCTTATTACATGCCCTAGTCACTAATGTTGGCTATCGCTACAGGATTTGGCAGACAGGCCCGCGCTGCGAGCTCGCCATCGTATGCTGAACACAAACACAATAACTGAACGACCCTCGTAGGGAGAATATGCACAAGAAGGAACTGGGGGTTAATAATATCCCGATATAAGCGCCACAGCTGTCGCGACCGCAACGGGAATATTACATTCCGGGCCGCGGAAACACCGGCACAGTCTCCAGCTGCTCATAACCGCCCATGGTCCCTTGCTGGCCACCGACATGCCACCCCTGGCCAGTCTGTTGGTTGACAAAAGCACTCTGGCGGAAAGGGTTCGTGCTTCCAGTGGGATTCGGCCGTAGAGGCGCTGGCGCAGGAGGCTGCAGGCCTTGGGACTGCTGTGGAGGAACCGAAGAGCTTCGAGCAAAAGGATTAGTCCCCGTTCGTTGGGGTTGTAGTGGTTGCGCTGACTGTGGAGGCGGTTGCTGCGGTGGCGCGCTGGCGTTTAACTGCGGCGGGTTGGCGGTCGACAACCGTCGCGCAAAAGGATTTGTGCTCTGACGGTTTAGGGGAGTTGCCGGCACGCCGGTTCCGGTTGGGGTACTCAGTAACATCGACTGTCTAAAGGGGTTCGTTGTTTGCGGTTGTAACTGCGCACCGGGCATTGGTTGCTGTTGCTGGGGAAATGGCGCAAGATTGTTCTGGGGACCAGGAGCAAGATTCTGTTGGAACCCATATGTCTGCGGTTGCGCCGAGTAACCACCAAATCCCGCACCAGTTGGCGTTGGCTGAAGCGGCTGTGGCTGCTGAGCTTGCTGCTGGCCAAATGGATTGGTACTCTGCTGTGCAAAGGGATCTCCAACTGATATAGCCTGGCCAAAGCCGGTCGGCTGCGCCTGTTGTTGGAACCCAGTTTGTTGGGGATAGAACGCTGGCTGTTGCGGCTGGAAGCCCGTCTGTTGGAATTGCATCGCTTGCGTTTGCTGCTGTAGATGTGGTAACTGCATAGGGTTCTGTTGTGCTGGGGGTTGCGGATCGATAGAATCGAAGAAATCGATTAGGTCTGCCGGATTCTCTTTCTTTTGCGGAGCAGGTTGTGTATGGGGTCGAGGTGGTTCAGGATTACTAACAGACCTATTTCCTGCTCCAGCCGTGTTACTGGGTGCGAGTGTAGGACCCGGATTGCCGCTCTTTCCTCCCTTTCGAAATAGATATTCTCTTCGTCGCTGATCAAAATCCGGGTCATTGAGGTCGTCTTCAAGGAGTCGAGTGAGGTCCGTAGAGGCGTGCTTCAGCTTGGGTATTTCTAGCCGTGTTGCTGCTTGGAAATGTCTAGCGACACCGAGAAATTTCACGACCTCCTCTGTTTGTTGAGTAAAAGTCTTATAGATCTCCAGCGCACGCTCACTATCAGGCCGCGACATTTCGAAGTAATGCTCTGTTACGAACACCATGAGTTAAGCAGTAATATGTGACGGGTTATAGTACCTACCCAAAACGTTGATCGTGCCCTCATTCATGACTGAGTAAAGCGTCAGGAGATCCAAGGTGAGCAGGCGAAAGGCTGTTAACGTAATTTCGTTCTCAACTTCGTCTGTCAAAAGCTGGAGAAGGTCAGCTATGGTAACTTGACTGCAGCCGATGAAGAACATACATCACACTGTAACAGCGCATGAATCTGTCTTTGTACAATCTCTGTTTCTCTCAAGAGGCCTTTTTCTACGGTCAACCTCTTCATGCGTCCCTGTCCGCTTCGTACATAATCCGTCTTGGTGGCCTCGAATGCATTTGCGCGCGCGATGAGATAATCAGAGTATCTCCGGATGTTATGTCCTTGTGACTGAACTACCCGGAGTCAGCATCTTCTCTTCGATTATCTGGAACTCTACCGGCCCACCTTCTGAGAATCCGCTGATTGCAAGCTTCCTCGGGTTCTCCGCCATATACTGTAGTGTAGCGTCCAATTGCCCCTCCCTTACCATGATATGTATGACAATGAGGGCTTTGAAGACTATCGTCCATGTTGAATCGCGTAGCCGAAGCTGGATAGTTCGAAATATTTCTGCTACTCCCGCTTCGCCTGTATGGGTCGCTACCAGGATGTGCTCTATGTATTTAGATTTAGGGGCCGCGAGCTGCTCGCATGGAGACAGTTATCAGCACCTTGCGCTAACGGTAACAAGCACGGTGACAATATAGGTTTAGACTGACCTTAATCTTGGTGGCCCCCTTTACTGATTTCTCAAAATTATGGGACATTGTGAGGGTGTGTCGGACTCCGCAATTGGGCCGTAATCGGGATTAGAAGATCGTCGTGGGAGAAGTTCAATTAGGACTGAAGATACTTGGAGGGTAAGAGGGAATAGAGAATATCAGGGTAGATCAACGGCTATCGTAGTTCCAAATTGATCTGTCGACACCGGCACCAACAATAGTCATGGTGGCTCAAGCCATGTTGCGCGTCGTGGCTTCTGGAAGTATGCAGGATGGCAAGAAGGTGGGGGTGGGCGAAGTTATAATCAACACAACTTCCGAGAGTGGGATAGATAAAATGACGATGGCAATGAAAGCGTGTTATATGTCGGCCCCGAGGATTTTAGAAGGTTGGTAAATGGCCGGAGGGACTGAGGGAGCTTCAGGCGTTCGGAACGTTTGGAATGTCAGTTGGCGGGAATCGCAGTGGAGTTAAGCTTTACCCTCTCCGCCTTAGGCAGATATCAGTATCACGTTCCCGCTTATTCTATTCAGGAACCAACCTGTACCTGGTATGCCGTCGAGTACAATAGAACTGACCGAATTTACATAAAACAAGAAATCTCTTCGGAGTTGTGTTCTCACTTTCCTCTTATTTCTTTTCTTTCCTTCCCTTTTCCTGTTGTCCCCGTCTCGCACTTAACTCTTCAATTACACTCTAGGAATCTGATATATCGCTTCTCGGAACTATAAATTCTATATAATCTCGCTTCAAAACCCAGTACTCTATGTCTGGATCTATCCCAACACAACCACGTAATTATATCTAGGTTCGGATATATTCCACCGTAGCCATAGGAGTTGGTTTTATCATTACTTTCTACCGCCGTCCGACACGTTCTATCCACATATCCCCTCCGTAGTAACACTAACCCCGACAACATTCGTGCACCAATGCCCAACATGATTGACTCAAGTGTGAATTTGTTTCAAAAGAGGAAGAAAGACATATTACCCCGTTAAGAGTTCAATCTGATAAGACACCTCCAGTACAGCATTGGCCTCAAAGTAATAACAACAATCTACCTCTCTTATCCTATCCCATTTCTTATTTCAACTCATACTATTCAGGTCTGTCATTTCTCTGTAGCCTGAATACCCTTATTTCTCATTCTGCTTATCTAGAGAGACCAAGAGTCTATCTAATCTTTTCATACGTCTCGTCTGTCTACCAACAGCACATTAGGCCCCCTTTATCTCAAACGGCAAAAGAGAAGAGAAAGAGGAACTCATTTCGTCACATTACAATACTCCACACTCTCTGTCTTCCCTAGTGGCAAGTATACGGGCTGGGTGATCATCTCTGTTTTCAAGACTCAACATGGATATGCAGGCTATCGATCTTACACTGAAGATACCTAGGAACCGATGGAGTACTAGGCAAAGAATCTTTCTTTGTTGCCTATACAAATTTTTCTGCAGAGATAAGAGAGCCTTCAGAGAAATCTTTAATCATGCCTTCAAACCAGACCTGATTAAATGTGGACTCATGGAAGGCATTTCTATGGGTACAATGTATACCCAGTGGGCTGATATGAAATGCTCCGGTGATCCTATCTGGGGACATATACATCTGTCTTCCTTGGACGACCGTGACTCCTGGCTCCCTGTGATTAAGAGGATCCAAGACTGTGCGAAGATACTGGATATCACGCTCATTGAAAAGGAAGTAGATGATATAGATACGTCAAACTTCCAGCCCAGCGAGCAGAGTCTTCCGGCTGATTTTTTGTCTACGCCTGTACGTTCCTGTCTTGGAGGATATGTCTAGCACTAATGGAATCTTAGAATGTTGACGAGAGCCCTGTTACACCATCAAATGCAAGAGTTGTGGACATTACCTCCATACGGTCCCCTGTGGAAATTAGTAGGCACAATTATCAAGATCTAAGTCTTTGTACGGGTGGCGGCAAGAGATGTTTTTGGTGCTATCAAGAAGATGTTGAGAAGGTATGGAATTCTAGTATTTGATCACCAGGCTTTAGGGATGATTTACCATAAATTCTAATAGCAGGAAACCGCAAGTTGGATACCTCCTATTCTGTACAGGTGGTCCAATGTTGATTCCCAAGGAATCAATTCCACGAAGATGTTTCTCGCTGGATTATTCATCGATGAGATGAGTTATTTTGCGCCAAACGATATCAATACAAAGGAGTTCGAGGAACACGTCGTAAACCACGCTAGAATAGCTGAGGTCCCAACTCCCTTCATCTCAACCTTCAGGTCCATGCTTGCACCGGTCCACAGGGCGATCAACAAAAAAGAAGGGGCAATAGTAACCATGATTGACTCGAAGAAGCTGCAGACCCAAGTTTACTCTGCTAAGAAACTTCTCCGAAAGCTTGGTTTGAGAGTGGGAATATACAATGGCGCGGGTGAATTTTTGATCTGGGGAAAGGTCCATGGATCTGCTATAATATCCTCGTTTAAAGCCAGCTCGCTTCTTCAGATAGCAAGTGAGTATCCCCATATTGAGAGCATTCTGCAGCTGGACACCATTGGAACCTATGAGAAAGCTGGAAGATCATTACACCAAGTCCTAGCCAAGAGCCCGGGACAACTTGACCACCAATCTGGCTTGATTATAGGAGAGCTCTTGGCCCGCCTCCAAGTACCTCAACGATATTGCAATTTAGTTGGGCAAGGAATAGCGTACTCATGGCGTTTGAATACGAAGAAAGGAACTTGGCAAGAGTTTATCGGAGGAATCTACAGTGGCTATTCGTCTCTGAGCGAGGTCCAGAACCCAGAAACACCTCTGTCTGCCATTTTGGGCCAAGAGGATCTAGATCTGCTCGAGCCACCTTCAGACGAAGACACTGTAACCGAGGGGGAATCATCTTCAGATAATGATGATCCGGAGAGTGACGATGATCCAAGAGCCGACACGCCTTGCCCGGTAGGACTGCCTACGAGGACTGCGTTGCCACCTATCGAGCTCTTCGACGGCGGTAGCAGAAGGTGGATAGCGCAAGAAGGCTGCACAAGGGAAGAGATTATCATTGACAACTCCAGCGCCGAAGATGATGTTCTTGACGATGTTTTCACAGCGGCTGCCTTCCCAAACACCTTGTTTAACACGAATACAGCAAATGACACCTCTGAGAGCGTCACTTCAGCGAATTCTGAGCCGGAGCCCATCGACTCTCGTCATCAACCAGCACCAGGGGACCAATTTGCGAGCGACAGAGCGAGAATTAACCAAATTCTGAATTGATATTGCACTCAATGATACCTGTTGATCGTGCTTAACCACGTGGAAGAACAGAAAATATGATTATGCACAACGAAAAATCACAAATGGAGAACAGAAAGGAAGAGAAGGGGGGAGAGGGGGAAGAAAGGGGGAAAAGACGGTGCATCTTTACTTGTTTTGGGGGAATGGGTGTTTGAAGAATTGGGCGTTAGGCTGTACACCAACTGGGCTGATGAAGGCACTGAGGAAGGTTGTACTATATTTCCAAGGATAGCTGGCGTGTCAATTCTTTAGCTCTTAGAGACGAGAGGAAATGATCGAAATATCCCGAAGGCAACGGCAATTTGTAAAGAGAAATATTGAATGAAAAAAGACCTAAATTGGCATCATGAAAAAGCCCCATTCCTGAACTGTCATGAATGGCAATCTCCTTTCCCGGTTGGCTATACAGTTGGAATTCTAACATAGGAGTATCAAAAAGCTTTTTTTCATTGGATATTTCCTTCACAAGGGTACCTGGGACATGAAATCGTGAAACAATCCCAACCCGTTAAACTAATTCGCTTATATCCAGTCACGCCGCTGCCCTAGATTGATGACCCTCTGGAATCGAAACACCCCCATCATCATCGACACGCTTAGAACTTGGAGAAAGCCTTGACGGCCTTGCCGGTACGGGGCAGGACACGGAGAACGTTGAAGCGGACCTAAAGATGTATTAGAATTGTTTTCACTCAATAATGGCAATCGGAAAGCAAATCCATCGGCCGGTCCATAGCATGACAGGGCCCCACATTGCAAGGGGTAGGTGATCGCTAGTGACGAGGCCAAATGGTATTTCCGAAACAGTTGTGTACGTACAGTCTTGGACAGGGGGCGGCACTGGCCGACGGTAACCCAGTCACCCTCCTCAACACGGAAAGCGGGAGAGACGTGAGCAGCAAGGTTCTTGTGTCTCTTCTCGTAACGGTTGTACTTGGGGACGTAGTGGAGGTATTCACGGCGGATGACGATGGTACGGTGCATCTTGGTGGAGACAACACGGCCGGTCAAGATACGGCCACGAATGGAGACCATACCAGTGAAGGGGCACTTCTTGTCTGTTTGATATCAGCGATCTATCCATCAAGCCGATGGAGACTTATGAACCGATTCCGGAGTTCGGAGATGAAGATAACAGATGACCAGCAAGGCAATATCGGCTTTCCAACTGCGACAGAATCTTCTCCCCCTCTATCGACAATCTCCGTGCCGCAAATGCAATCCTGGACTTCCATGATACCGCGCGGTCTTTCATCTCCAAACCCCGGAAAATCGTTGTTCTTCCCCAATATGGAATTCGAAATTTTCGGCAAAATTTCATCGGAGGTCGTGCATACCGATGTAGGTGCCCTCAATGGCGGTCTTGGGGGTACGGAATCCAAGACCAACATCCTTGTACCATCTGCGGCCCTGGCCAACCTTCTTGCTCTTCGCAAGAGTCTTAGGGTTGTTGAAGATGTGAGGCTGCTTCTGGAACGCACGTTCCGACTGGACGGTCAACTCGGTCGCCATTGTTGCGAGAATTCAGTTCGACGAGGAAGCGAAGTCGAGCTGGGTGTATCGTCGCGGAGGGGGGTGTCGGGGCCTGCGGTGGTCGACGTCGATGTTGAGGAAGATTTATTCGGGATGGCGGATAATTCAGTGTGGGAGTGTGCGATGGCGACGCTAAGCCTGTTGCGGGCTAGTCATGCTGTACTAGCCCTAACACCTAATCGTATCGTTATTATGTAATGAATTACTCATCACGATAACAGAAACGTTTGTTTACATCGAGCGATCACATGAGCACCGCCCCGGAGACGCGCGACTTTTGGGGGGTTCGTTATACTTGTGTGTTTAATGAGGGCGCAACGATAACTGGACCATGTATATTATTCCAACACTTCGAAAAAAGTGGAATTATTGATGAATTGAAATTGAGAAACTCTAAGCATCCGGACCTTGTCTATGATACCCTATATCTTGCCTCATGGCATCCAGAAGTGACTCCGCGGGGTCTGCCCGTCCGCGATCTCGTCGCTCGATCGCTCATGTACCCCGATCAAGGTTCACATCTGGAGTGGATAAGGAGAACACAACTACAGACATAAGTTCAAGTCAACCGATCTTGGGCTCCACAAGGTTGGGTGGGAAAGATAAGAAGTCCCGCAGTAAAAGCTTGGGGCCTGGTGGTTTAGATGCGCTTCAGAACTCCAACGGAAACCGACGCAAGGTACATTTCCTCTCCTAGTCCCTCAACTCTCTGTTTCATATGAAACTAACAAAAGTATTGTCGCATTATAGTCCACTACAGCATTCCCTCTCAAATCTATTCTTAAACCTACCGTTCCCGTTTCGCCGGTACGAAATATTCCCTCTTTCGAAGAAACACGGAAGCGGACGCCGGCTCGAGGTTCACAAAGCCATGAAGACAATCAAAGTGGGGGAAGCCAGGGAAAAGAGGGCATGTTGATAGACCTTGGCACCCCAGCACAGCCGCCAGGGTCTATAGATGAATCCAATCCGTTCGACAGCTTTAATGCTTCATCGATACGTGACGAAATGGCCGCTGCTAGAGAGCGTGACGAGAAAGCCAGACGAGAACGGGAGCGAAAGGCTATTCTAGAACAGCGGGAAGCCCGCCGGAAGTCTATGGGTATGCCATTGCCTTCCCATCGGCAGTTTACATGGGACTAACTAGTTTTCATCAAAGCAAATCGCCGAGTATCGTTCGCTCCGGAGGCAACATTGCACACATGGAACGTAGTGGAAATTCCAGACGACTCTACTTCATCATCTACCTCCAACTCTACCCGACGCGCATCATCCTTAACCACCGAAAACCAGGCAACACCCGCTGCTGCGCAGACTGAAGCTCCCTCGTCTCCGGACGCCGAAATCGAGTCAGACATAGCATTTTCTCCAGTGCAATACCCAGATCTCCAACAGTTAGCAAACCGCCCTCAGTATGGAGCTTATGATGGAATGGGAGGCTCCCAGCAAATGTCCTCTAGCCCCTTCAGCGGAAGCTCTGCAGATGGTAGTGAAGATATTGGGCTGCAAGCTGAGACAAGAGATGAAGATGAGGAGGATGACGACAACTCTTCAACCTCTGGTTTTGACGGCGAAAGTACCGCAATGAGCTTAGATGACGTGACTGCTCACTCAGCTGCAACGGCACGATCTGAGGAATCGAATACCAGCTCTAGCGCTCGACTGAATGAGGCTCTTCGACAAGCAGCTCGAGAGGCCGGCACGAAGAGCATCGATGATGATGAGAATGGCGAGATGTCAATGGAGATTGCTGACCAGGAAATAACAGGGGCTTTCCAACCTTGGATTAAGAAAGGGCAGAGACAAAGCTTTGACTGGGAGGACATAAGCGCCCGGCATGATCAAGAGAATGCCTATCGAACGGATCACCCAATCCGCGACGCGGGCATCGATGATGCGGCAAGTGATAACGGAGACGAAGACATGAGCATGGAAGTGACGAATGCCATTGGTCGGATCATCACCAAACCGGCAAGCCGTCGTCAAAGCGCCATTCGTCGCAAGTCAAGTGGAGAGGAAACAAACTACGGCGAACAAACGATGGAGCTCACCAATGTGGTCGGAGGCATCGCGCAGCCTACTTCTCCTGCGGGATCCACAGGCGCTGATAGCAATGTAAACGAGGACGAAGAGATGACAATGGAATTTACTTCCGTTGTTGGCGGGCTTTTGGGCAAACCCTCCACCCAAGATGGGGATGAGGACGACTACGGAGCTGCTAGGTCTTCTGCTCAGGAAGAATCCAATGAACGAAACTTCTCTGAATGGAACGATGACGGCGGAATAGACGATGGCGAAGATATGGAGATCACTGGAGCCGTTGGTGGTATCCTTCCACCGAACGAGGAGCGAGATGAATCAGAGGATGATGACCAGACTGTAGGGATGGAAGTCACAACGGCTATGGGTAGGATATTACCACCGGAGGCCGAAGCCAGTGGCAGAGAGGAAGCAAAGGAAGAGATGGAAGTGGAATTTGAATCTGCTGAGCGCGGTAGCTCTCCCTTCCAAGAAACCGTTCGACAGTCTCCTGCGAAATCACCAGCCTCCTTCCATGTTGCTACAGTCACCTCGGACAGTGGCAGTCCTAGCTTGGCAAGTGTTAAATCCCGACGTACAAGGCAGAGTTTGACTCAAGGAGCACTGTCAAACACTCCAACATCAACTACTCCTAAGACGTCTCCATCGGAGAACTTGTTGACTCCCCCGAAGCAATCGACACCGCAAGTTAGCCGTCCTACAACGCCTGGAGAAACCCCGCCATCAAGTGCCAAAGGATTTAGGAACGCGTCACCGAAGAAGCTTTTTCAACCTGAACTGCAGGGGGCCGCAAATAAACGGAAGTCGCCCCGTAAGAGCCTTTTTGGAAACAATGCGATGGGTGAATCCACGCCTCTCTTCGTTCTGCAACCGAAAAGCAAGAGGCGATCATCTGGACTTGGAATTGATAAAGAAGGACTAGGATCCCCCAAGGTAGCTGCTATGCTTGATAAGCGTCGGTCTATTGGCGAAGATAGTGCTGAGTTTGTTCCTCAGGAACAACGGCAACAAGGTGTACGATTTGAAGATCCTTTGAAGCTTCAAGAGGAGGTTGATCGTGAGCGTGAAGAAGAAGAAAGCCGCGAGGACGGTCATATCCCACCGCTGCAAGGTAACGACCGAGACGCAACCACGAACTTGAGGGATATGATTTCAAGCCTCACACCGAGAAAGAACAAACTTGCCGGCCGGAAAAGCTTACACGTCGGTGCGGCGCGGGGCTTACTTGGTAAACGGCCGATGGAACTGGACCTACCTGACGACGACTCTGACCATACGCCCAAGCGTCTAAGAGGTCGCGAGGCTAGTCCTGTGAAGAATATCAAGCTCCCTGCACCACCGACAAAAGACGAAACAGTCGGACGCCTGGGCCGCTCACCTGCTCCCCCAGCCATTGAAAGATCTCCGGCAAAGGCTAGCACAACTCCTACTCGGGAGCCGAAGGGCTCCTCTGTAATAGTAACCCCTATGGAAGACGAGCCAACGTCGTCCAATGCCACATCCGCTTCTGAGTCAGCTCAAGACGCTCTCGATCGTCAGGAAGAATCCGGGCCAGAAGTTGAGCCTATCCAATTGCAAGAGTTCTTGAATATGACCAACATCCATTTCATGGAGCTTACCACGACGAAGCGTCGACACACCACTGCGCCGGACAGTGCAACCAGAAGAAGAGCCAGACTTTCTAGCGAAAAGTCTAGTGCCTCTAAGTTTGATGATTGTGTGGCTGCTGGCTTCTGTACTGTGCCCATGCTCGAGCTTTATCAACATGTTAGTTTGTCTTCTCCGACCAATTGCATTACTTTGCTAATTTTCTCTAGTCTTGCCGAGAATTGAAGTCGTATATCTCAGAAGGGAGACAAGTTATCCGGTCCATCGAGACGGAGACTTACACCGAAAACCCGCCACTATTCCGAGAATACATGACAGCCCCTCCCGATATCCGTTTACTAATGGACAATCAATTTCGAAACGTAAAAACTCACGCGAGGTTCCTTAGCAAAGCTACATGGTATGAGTGGCGGATGAAGCTCCTCGAGGGTCTGAAAGATGGGCTTAATCGCCACGTTGAAGAAATGAGAGGTGATGACGAACTTCTGTCGAAGTATGAGACACTCCTTAGCGGTGTTGTGCCCGCGCTTGTCGAAAAACATTCTTCACTTGAAGAACAGGCTACATCTCTGCAGCAGTTGACGGACGAGATCGAGAACTGTGATCAGGATGAGCTACGGGATGCGCGCGAGAAACTCTTTAGCATCGAGGAGGAGATTGCATCAAAGAAAAAGCTACTCGAAGAGCTACAGGCCGAAGCCCAAGAAAAGACAAACACTATCGAGACCGGAGCGGAGCTTAAGGCAGAATACTTGGGCCAAATCCAAGAGGCGGAACGGGTCAAGGAGGAATGTCGGGGCTGGAGTGCCAAGGAAATCAGTGAATTGAAGGGTAAGTGCCTTCCTTACATATGGCTGAGACTCGAGCTAATTCTTGATAGAATCTGTCGACAAGATGGAACGTCAGACAGGGTGGTCTATCATCTCGGCTACTTCTCCAAGTTCCCCTGCAGGTCCGTTGGTGACGATGTCTTATCGCAACCAGCTCCAACTTTCGTTCCACCCGGGAGCATTCTTTATCAATAATAATAACAGCCAACCTCCTGCTACTGACGAGAAAATGCCTATTGAGTTGAAACACAGCCCTCAAGGCAGAACACAGCCTATGACCCACTCTGCGCTCTCACCGATAGGGTTGTTAGTCTTGAAGTCTCTCCAAATTGAGCTTGCAACCATCCCGCAGTCTAAAACAGCTCCAAAGCAGATGCTCCATTTTGTCGCGCAAGCGTGGGACCTTGTGCTTAACCTCGAAGAGGAAGCCCGTATGTTGGGATTCTGCGGTGCTACCAAGCTCAAGTTTTCTGAGATCGATGCAAAACCCGCCCTCAGGGCAAGATGCACTCTGCTTGAACTGTCATCTGGAAAGGGATCCTCAAAAGCCAAAGACACAGGAGCCAGAAGAGTCGATGTTGACTTTGCTGTCAAGACATGTGTCCAAAAAGGAAACGCTGGTGATGTTGGTGTCCTAGCATTCGAGACCGATGTGATTGCTAGTAAGGTCTATGGTTTTGGCACCAAGAACCGCTCCGGCATGTCTGAGGATGAGATGCGAAAACTTCTTCGTAAGGAGCTGGGGGGAAAGTCCGGACCCCAGCTTGGAAACGGTATTTGGAGCAAGGCGGTGCAAACACTTACCGGGACAGTGTTTTGATTATGAGCGATAGGACATGGCGTCTTCAGGATCGTCGGGTTTGGCTTCATTTTTTTTTTTTTTTTTTTCCTGGCGCACGAATTGGGGTGACGATGTTTGAGGGCAAGGCTTGGGAGTTTACCTTGGGTGAATATCTTCGGTGGGAACGGGTTCATACAAGGATATGATATGTGGATACATTTACAAGTACATGAGAATCATAATTCTGAGTCTTCCATGCGTCATTTGACGTTCAACAACGACATATAGCCCTCATCAACGGCGAAGTATGCACGTAATCCACATACAATCCAGGAAACTCAATCCCTTCTCCCAAACCCAACACTATGAACCTAACAACCACCATCACCCCTAAGCACCCCCCCTCCTCTCTACCTTCTGCATATCCTACCTCCTCCAACAAGTAGGTTCCAGGGGCGGCTCCCCCGCCGCCTCCCTTCTCTCATTCTCCTTCACCCACGCCTCAGCATGATCCCGCCTCGCATCCAGCTCCTCACACATCTGATCCGACACAATGGCCACCACCCTCCCCTCCATGTCTTTCTGGTACCAGCCGCCGGTGGTGTCGACCGTATCGTCGAAGGTGGTCTCGGGGTTAGCGAGCACGGCCTTTTTGACGTCTTCTTCTGTGTCCAGGCGTGGGATTGAGGGCGAGATGCTGGGTGGGTAGCGGGTGTAGGTGTACGTTTTTGTGTTGGATGAGGTGGTCATTCTTTTTCCTCTTTCGGGCTGTTTATTAGTTGCTTGGGTTGGGGTTGTTGGCCGTGGTGAAGAAAGGGGCGGTGGTAGTTTGTGATTTGAGAGCAGGTTGGGTATACACGGTATGGGGGTTGGGTGGGAGTTTATGTGCGAGTGATTTTGTATTGGTGGTTGGTGGTTGAGCAGAAGATGAGCAGAAGATGAATGAAGTAGGTATAGAACATGTAACAAGTTATATATACGAAAGACACACCGACGTCATTGCGATCGACGTCTAGTGCTTACTTTTGGCGCCGGCCCCGATTGTTCGGGGTCTAGACTGGGTATCCTTGATTCTGGAAGATGTGTTTTCGACAGGCTTCGATTCGCCCGAAGGGTACAGACTGTGGTAACTGTTCTTCAATTTGATATATACAGTGGGTATTGGGAAGATGCTGCTATCATGATTTTAGAATGGAGTGACCGGTATTAATTGTCGTCAATTCGTTAGGATACAGACAAATGTATATACATCATATCTGCTTATGGCTCGATATCGATGGGCGTCCCACGTCGAATACTAGAGCAGGATGCAAGATGTCGCTGAAACTGCATTCTCAGTGATCAAAACAAGGGTTCAGTCCCCTGCTGGTCGATTGATTAGAAGAGGTTCATGAATCCCCGGGGCATCCATGGGGGATAGCCCTCCACATTATCGGAATTCTCGTAGTCGAACCCCATGTTCATTGGCGCCGAAGGCATTGGTGGTGCTGTCATCCCGGCCATTGCCGACATGACATCGCTACCCCCTTGAGCAAATAATTGTGGACCGAAAAGGCTCAGGAACTGACTGCCAAACTCCCAGTCAGCCGTCATTGGAATTTGCCACAGTTCTGGCTGGTGTATGTTGTCGGCCATAGAGGCCGGAAAAGTGTCGCCCATAGGATAGGGGTAGCTCGGCTGGATCGTTGCACTTGTGCTTTCATGTGGCTGGCTCACTGAGAACCCGCCTAAGAGGGGATCGTTCACAGTAGATTGGTCCCCAGTGGGGGCGTCTACCGAAGCAGCGCTAGGGCTCTCAGGAACAACATAACCCGACGAGTTGATGTGTGGGAGGCCTTCGAGTTGAGGGATGTCAATGTTGCCGGCAGAGGGCGAATAGGATACTTGCTCCTTGGGTGAGGTGGTCACGGATGGCGCCCCGGGCTGGTGAGGTTTATCGCTTGACTTGAGCGCCTTTTGTTCTCGCTCAAGGACTGTCCGGGCTACTCGCTCGAAGTTGGCACACATTTTAGTCATGAACTTGGCGTAATTGCAGGGGCCGTCGCCGGGTATGAGCGTTGCGAAGAAGGTCGCTGCCATGCTGAGATGGTGTAAATCTTCTCTGGCGTGGGGGTGCTGACTGTCGCGCAGTATATAAGTGAATAGTATGGTAACTGCCAGGAAAATGTAATACAACAGAGACCTACAGTTGTATTAGCGGAAGGTTTAGATTGATGTCTCAAATTGCGACAACTCACCAGATCCAAGCTATGTCTCCCCATGGAAGGTTATTCACAAGCTTCAATGTGTCCCGGGCAGCCTGAACGCAGATTGCGCTCGCCTTCGTCGACTCGTTGAAGATAGTTTTGGGATCAACGTCCCACTTCACGTTGATTGTAGAATGGCGCATATAGGCAAAATAAATAGTCAGTGGCAGACGATGAATCATGATCATAGAGTTAAAATAGCCAAACTGCAAGCCAGCAGTAGCAAATCCCACGAGGAAATCCTCGCCTGCTCCTCTCGGCTTCACTTGTTGGGTGAAAGGGCTTGCATTGTGCCATTCCTCAAGTTCCCCCCGGAGCTCCCGGATAGTATCGTAGATTTCTTTGGGAGACATCTTCTGCAGAGACTTGACAGCATAAAGCTTGCCATATATCCGGCTTCTTATGAGCGTCATATGACAAAGTTGGCGGAAAAAAGAAGCATGGCCGTTCACTGTGAATTCATCATCATTATCGACCTCGGGAAAGCCAATATCAAGATCGTCTGGACGCTGGGTGGGCGAACTCCCCGTCCGTATGCATGCGCTACCATCGCTGAGTTAGCTTCAGATGAAATAAGAAGGATGCCAGATATTGAACAAGTATTACCTCTGATCAAGGATATAGGCAATCCAAAATACCCTCTTCCTCTGTTCTTGCTCGGCCTGGGAAAGATGGGGTCTGGGAACGTCACGATGGAGTCCCATTCGTTGACACGACTGTATGGCTGCTGTTATGATAGGTGATGCTGACTGAGTACCCGAATTACCACGGAGAAATAATGCCATGCCAATAAGGGCCTGCACACTCAAGATGTCGGTCCTTCGCAATGTCAACTCGGGAAAGACTGACATAGCATTTTTGTAATATAGCCAGGCTTTCTCCCTGTCTTTTTCTGACTTCTGGCAGTTGGAAAATCGATATTCGTAAGCTAAAGAGAGGATTATATTAATGCTGGCCCAACGGGCAGCATCGTCACACGTCTGTTGCGTATATTGCCATTCAACCAACCGCATAAACGTCGCCTCATGGTACAGTGGAAATAACCGGTTCACTGTGCGAAAATAATCCTTCAATAAGGAAAAGACTTCCGCTCTCGGAGGCAAGGGCTTAAAGACGGTAGACGAGAACACGTCATGAAATACATCTGGCCGCCAATGATCCCAGGGGCTGTCATGGTCTCTGTTCTCGAGTAGTAAAGTAAGAAACCTAGAGTCTCCTGTCTTGCTCTTGATCCACTCAATTCCATCTCGAGATAGAATGGACAGAAACGAAGATCGTCCTAGTAATTAGTCAACCAACAAGTGCCTTAGAGGAACAACATAGGATAATATGTCTGACATACCATAGTATCGAGAGTCTTCTCTAGAGTCAAGGCGGAAGAGGGGTGGCTGGTGTAAAGTACTATCCCAAGGAAGCTTCTGGCTCCATTCGACAGACTTGCTCGACAGATTTGCACCAGACGTGATGCTGGACTCTTCGTTTGCAACATGTACTGAGTCTTTTGATATTAGCATCCCGGAATCACGGCTCCTCGAACCACAAGGCTCGTTTTGTCCATGATCAATATCACTTTCGTCCTCAGAGTTCTCGTTGCCAAATTCACCGCCGGTATCAAGTTGACTGATGTCTTCGTCGTCTAGAAGTCCTGCGGCGCGAAGTAAAGATTCCGTCTTCCGCAGACGTTCTTCTAGGGTTCTCACGTAGTTCGTTCTAGAAGGGACCATTTAGTAAAAGCGGGCCCTTGAATAGGCTGTAGGTGAGAGTTGCAGTGGTGTACCGATACCTTTTCAGACTATCTCTCTTCTCTTTTCTTGTGGTGAATTTGCACGCTATGTTACGACGCATACATTGAATACAGGCCGTGTCGGAGCCCTCAACTTCGCATTTGACTTTCTTCTTATAACACATCTCACACGCCTGTCCAGACGAACTCAACTAATGCACCGCGTACCGCACAAAGAGAATGATTCTTACCAATAGGTTACGCCTTCGATTTGCAAGACTATGGCCGTTGCTTAATCGCGTACCCTGTCGGGCAACGGAAGAGCTATCTAGCGCTCCGCAAGATGGTATAATCCCAGCATCCCGCGCTGAGTTCTGCATATCTTTTTTGTTTCGTTCTTGTTTGATACTAGACCAGGCAGTTAAACCACAAGAAGCGTAAGTAGACCGGGCCCGTGCCCCGGGTTCAACAGATCATCTGTTTGCTGGAAACCCGCGGAGTGGATATGGCACCGGTCCACCACCAAGACCGCGTAGTTCTGGTAGACCCGACGTTATGTTAGAGTTAAAGATATGATGTTGTTCAAAGGATGAGAAAGCATAAAAATAGAAATTAAAGAAGAAGAAGCGTGGGGATTTGACGGTCAGGATCAGTTGGATCCCACCGAAGTTGGACAAGCCGGAGGACGTGGAGGAGCAGACGGGGAAAGCGGGCGAATGATAGGGCCACTCAGTTCGAGTCTTACCCTGACAGCCCCATTTAGTGGAGGAAAAGCCTTTGCCGTGTATCCGTCATAGAACGGCAGTAGGATCCTATATGGTTGGTAGATATCTACACATCGAAAGGGATCATATAGATAAAAGGATGTGAAAACCAGAAATGCAACTGAGCTTTTTTTTCTTTTTTTTTTTTGGTTCTTTTTTACAACCTGGTTCCTTTTTCCGGTGCGGGTTGAAGCGCCAATTATTAATGTTTAATGTTAACAAAGCTCGTTTTGTCTCGGGAATCGGGGCTTAGCACATCCGATCCGGGCCCACCATATTTTTTGATATTCAAAAGGGTCCGAATGTCTAGAACGTTTGATAATAAGAATCCACACTACATGAAGCAAGTGGTCGCAGCGCACATACGAATCTCTGTCAAGGAGCTGGTGGTTAGCGGGTAGACTATCCGTACTAATCTGAGCAGCCGCGTTTTCCTCCAGGGTCGATGATCTGAGCTTCATAACCAGTGAAAAGGCCTTTGGTTTGATTTCTTGCGGCCCGCGGTTGGGCTGAGCATCAAAAGCCACCACTTTATACTTACAACAAAAAGTAGTCTCGATAACTCTTAGTCGCAGGCTTTGATTGACCCAGAAGCTGTAGAGCCCTTTCTCTGATCCATATATCACATTGTTTTGCTCAGCTTCAACCCAACAGAAGTGTCCACGATGAACGTGTGAATATCGCCTTGTCTTGAAATAGCTTGTCGAGTGCCCAATACTGCGCTAGCGATGTTCACTGACTGGTTTGTCGGGAGCCTGTGACAGCTATAAAGCGAGTCCGTGGGTACTCGGCCGACAGGCGGTTATTTTGACGATGGTATAGTTTTGTGGGATCGGGCTTCTGTCTGCAAGTTAATCCTTAACGTAGCAACTCCATAACGATACATTGACCATCTTGTCTGGGGAGAAGAAGTTGAGCACTTGAACTAGACTGCGCCTGAGATGGATAGCAAATCAATCATAGACTTTATTTTCCTCTCAGTCATATCGCTACCTTGTGTGGCAACGGAACAGTTCTTGTAGGCTCTTCTTTCTTTCTTCCTTTTTTTTTTTTTTTTTTTTGTAACTCAATTAATTGATATTGTGGGTCGGTCAGTGTGGCAGAAGTTTTCGGTGTGCTAAAACCAGCGATCTTTGGAGAAACTGTTGGCCGTGCAATAGCCTTGAGGGTTGTTAAAGGTGAGGAGAAGGCGACGGACACTCAGAGTTATTAGTGTACGAGACCTAAGCTCCAAGTCAAGTAGTTTGCGAACGAGTGTACCTGCAAAACATCTTGCGACTGCAGAATTGCATCCTCGTCCCGTGTAAGAGGTCTGTCCTCAGCGCGGAACCCGAATTTTGTCCAGCACGAAGCCAAAAACCGGAAGATGCAGCTTCCAAGTGGCGAAAGTGAACGGGAATGTATGCAACTAGGGGGGAGACAACTGAGGCTGTCAGAGCCAAATGCCCTACCGCGAAGATAAAACAAAAGTCCCAAGATGTGCTGTTAGTGGGGACGAGAATCTAGGGTCACGAGAGCCCTTGCTTTGAACTGCCTGGATCCCAAGGCTGCCTCTCACGCAATCCGCTAGAGGTCCAAATCACGCCATTCTCTACGGAGTCCATGTCGAAAGATAGTGAGAGATTGACGAAATAAAATTCAGTCATCTGGTGGATCAAGGCGCATGAACTAGATCCCTGTGAATGCATCGTTTCTACATGCCACTTTTAGTCTGTTAAATGATACGGAGTACCGGTAGTTATTTACCGGTATTGTGATCCAGTCACACTACAGCACCACGAGGCCCAGGAAAGTTATATACGACTGCGGATATGCATTAGCCTGCAAGCTTTGGAACTGGATAACCATGGCGTATGCCCGGACCGCATGGACGCGCCGCACTAACTAGGATCTTGCTCAGGCTTTAACCCTAGGTACCCGCACAAGTCGGAATTGCCAATTGGCCCTTTCCGCCCCCAATAGATGCCAGTGGCGAGTATGTGCGCTTCGAATATGAAAGGGCTTCCCAGACGATGGGTTTTCTCAGAATATGCAATATAGATCCTCAGACCAGGTGTGAAAGTACCAAAGCCGACCTCAGCTTCCTTCAGCCAGGTCCTGTGGACAACAGATGAGCTGTCCTACATGGTGCTGGAAGCAGCTATCGATGGTATTCATTTATAGAAAATGCCCCTTGCGCACGGCGGAGATCGAGCCTCGCAAATAGAAGAACCCATTAAAAGACTGCGGACTTCACCGTGCGGACCATTCTGCTGTAGTAAGTACAGAAATGGTGAATATGCCGTTCAAATTGCCACACCACGAAGCCACGGTGGAGTCTGCCACTGGAGGGACTGACCGGCTTTGTGTCAAACTACACCACAGTGATTAGTAGTGAACTTTATTGATGGTGGGTGGACTTGTTGGTAGCGTTGAGACCAGAAACCCCTGGCTAACTGCGGATCACATAATCATGACTCTCTTCCGGTGTACACAGTAGATCGCTGGGGCGTCGAGGTTGTACTGTATGGTACTCCATATGTACAGATGCTCCTCAGTATCCCGAGGTCACAAGGCCCGTTCAACGAGACGAAGTATTAGCTGTTTTCTTTCCCCAGGCTTCTGCTTTTCGGATCATGCTACGTATCGCTGAGTTCTCGTATCGGAAGAGCCGTGTTTTTGGACGATCAATCCATCTCTTGGGAAATAGTACTACCACGGAACTGAACAAGGGGAGGGACTGCTTCTTCCCGCCGTGGAGCGCGGGGAAAGCCGCCAGCAAAGGACAATGGAATAATAATAGGATTCAGAACTCAGGAGGTCGAGAAATGCCAAGCTTTGTTGCGTTGATTGCCTTGTAAGGTCATAAAACTTGGACGGAGTTAAAAAAGACGGTCCGCGTCATTTAGGAACGCGTAAGGTATGGGTGTGATTTGCTCAAGAATTGGGATGAAACCCATATTTGCTTCGGACTAGAAGTCTGGAACAGAGGTTCTTTATCCCCGAAGTGGAGTCTGGTTATAAACTAAGGGATGGAATAGATTGGAAGAGCCATGGCGATGGGCGATGACTGGCACGTACTCGGACTTAACCTATTTTACCGTATTGATGGACCGTCACTGCATGACGAGGGACTTGAGTACTTGGCGATAATGCCAATCACAATTCTATCTCGAGTACATCAGAAGTACCTGTAACTTCCCTGATCCACTCAGATCTCCATATTTTGACAGTATCTTCCAGACTTCCAGTACACTACCTGTACTAGTACGTACAAGACGACACTTACGTCGCAACGTCGTATGGGTGAACAGCATGTGGACGTAATTTTCCTCCCTCCTTCCCGTCCCCTTATTGACGGGCGGAGAAGGCAATCCACACACTTTGATCATGATATACCCCCCCTCAATGGGACGAATACGTAGTATCCGTGTTCTAGTGGACGTTGAAGTCTTCTTTTTATTTTTGATTCTTTATATCTACTACCCATATCCTCCCACCCCCCTTCCGTACGTTGCCCTTTCATCCGCTCCTTCACCTCCGATCTTTTTTTCCTCCCACCCCCAACAAAAATACCACTGCTCCGCCGTTCCGCTGAGAAAGCGGTAACATTACCATACACTTACTTCCGAGGCTGCAACTGGCGAACCAGAGCGTGCGATCACGACATTTCTCCATTCTATCAGATCATCCACTAGCTTGGGCGGGCGTGAGACGATCAGCTCTCTTGCCTCGTTCCAATTGCTCGCTGGTGCTACGCCTGCTGCTTTGCCCCCCCGGCTGGGTGCTCCATCAATCGCCCATGTCTCTGCGTTGGTGATATTGGCCCTTGTGGTGTGGTTCTTTTTCGCTTCTTCTGCGATCCCCCTCCGAACGGCTTCTATCGTCTCCATCCGTACGAGGTTAATTACCGAGTTTGTCCTTCCCCGTCGCGGGCCGTTATTGTTGTTGTCGTCAACTATTATATTTATTGTTCTAATATTATTTTCCATTCGTTCTCTTGCGTACGTGGCTGGTCACCTCCCGCGCTATGCGACTTGCGTTGCAGTGATCGCAGAACAGATATCTTTGCGACAAGTCATACAATCTTGGACCTGTGAAATTCGTGCATTCCTGGACCAATTCCGAGCTTTCCCCTCTTTGAGCCGATCTGGGGTTTGGCTTTCTTCTCTGGTTCAAGCTTGTTCTGGCGCCATCGCCCTCCAGTCTGGTTCCCTGCTCCCCCCACGAGAAGAAGCAGAATTTTTTTTTTTTTTTAAATTAGATTAGGTGGGCGCAAGAGGTAATTCAGAAGAAGAAAAAGAAAAAAAAGGGAAAATTACCAGAAACTTAAATTAAAGAGGCAAGGGCCAAAACGAGGCCATTACCAGAACGGACGCAGCTCTAAAACCTCTAAAAACCCATCGCGCAGCCAATATGTCAGATGAGCACATCGCTCGTCAGACAGCGTCAAGCCTCGATAGGCTTGAGAATTTCAACTTCTTACTCTCCCGACACGATCCTGCCCTGGCAAAGAGTAGACATTACTCTTTTGACGCAGACTCGGCTGGCTTGGCTCCTTTCCAAAACCTGAGTATGGATTACGACCAGACCGAGGGGATGGGCGGCCTTTCCGTCAGTTCCTACGATAGTATCGAGGATGAACGGAATCCGATCGATGTGAGAGGGTATCCCTATCATGGTAAGTCTGAGCTTTTATGACTCTCAACGTTGCATTGTTTGCGCCATCTTCTCGATCCCTGGTTCGTGTCTCAATTTTGTGGCCTTTGCGGTATTAGATGGAAATGGTAGAGCTATTGCTGAGGCGCACTCGGATCGTTGCCAAAGTTGATGTCGTTCGTCTCCATCTAAAATCCCCCCCTTTCCTTTTTCCGGGGAAAAGCTTCTTCTTGTTTGTTGTGCCATTAGTTTGTTTGCGATTGTTAATCTTGGCTGTCGTTGTTGCCTTGCTGTTCCAACTCTTATCGCTCGTGGGCCACTCCATACACTATAGCGCCCACAACCTATAGAGTTGAGGTTTAACTTTGGGCTCATGTATGTTTTGCTTCATCTATCTCGCTATTGTTTTGCCTGGTTTTCTCTTTTCTTGCTTTGATTTGTCGATCTTCTGATATCCCTTTGGTTGTGCTCTCATTTGCACCCGCATGCCTGGTTGATCACGGAGGACGAGCACGCAATCCGTCACACCAATGACACCGTCGGTAACCTTGTCGTTGGTGTTGTCGGACCCTTAACCGCGCATCTCCCTCAGTTCATCTAATGCTCCTCGCCAAGGGTCTCATGTCCCCTTGGAGCTTCCCTCGTGCGATAACACGTACTCCTTCTTTCTGTCTTATCACCTTCGCTAGAGTTCTGCTTGCAGCGTTGCTACCCTAGATTCTGTTCTTCCCGTTACTTACATCTATTCCTAGCAGCTGATAAGCACATCAACTACTCGCTCCCCGACCAAATGATCTCATATCCAGCTCACCCGATCTATCCTCCAATCTCTTATGGACCTGATGATCTGGGTCATGCCCCGGGGGCTCTGACTCCCTCGGACGTCTCGTCATCCATATCACCCCCGAACGGTCAACTTGGTAACACCAAGTACAGCACGCAGATCCCCGGCGATCACCTCGCTTCTGCCCTTTCACAAGAAGAGCATGTTCGTCGTGCTGCCGAAGAAGACCGGCGGCGGCGGAACACCGCGGCTAGCGCCCGGTTTCGCATGAAAAAGAAGCAGCGTGAACAGACGCTAGAACGCACAGTGCGAGAGACTACTGAAAAGAATGCTACTCTCGAGGCCCGCGTGGCCCAACTGGAGATGGAAAATCGATGGCTGAAGAATCTCTTGACCGAGAAACACGAAGCGACAAGCACTCGCATGCCACCTCCACCAGAAGACAGCACAGCCTTAAATCAAAAAGGCAATAGTGGCGGAAACGGCCAAAAACATATCCAGCCAAAAAAGAAGGGTGTGGGCACCGATTACTAGAGACTAAAACGAAGAAGTCTTGTTTTCCTGTTGCCTTGTGTTATCTTCAGCTTTTCCTTCTGACTCTCTTCCTCTCCTCCCCTCTTCTGGCATTCCTACATGCCCATGTTTTGGGCGTTGGCTCCAGTTTCCCTCTTCGCATCTGTCTTCATATCCTCTATCTATGCTTGGGCTAATCATCCGTCCTATGATGGAGGCACTTGACGATGTAATGACCTTTTATCAATTTTTGTTTCCGTTGTGTGCGAGTGCGAGTGCGCGACCTGAGATATGGTATCGTTTTCTAGGCTGTTCAGTTCTTTTCATTTCTGTTTTCCTTGTTCGCCTTTATGTCTGTCTTTTCTTATAAGTCATGCTCGGTGAATCTTGCAGGCAAGTTGGGGGTGGTCTACAATTTTCTTGTGTCTTCACGGGTCAGGGTCAGGGTCTCCTCCGCCCTGTCATCCGCAACTGGAGTATAAGGGTGGGATATAGTCATTGTTGGTGTTGAATTTTTTTTGGCAAACCCATGTCACGCGTTGGACTGACGGCATGTGATCCTCCCGTGCCCGCAGTAGCTCGGCTTAAACCTCTGATAGGTCCTAGCGCTGAGAATCAACTGGTGGCGTTCAATTTTCATTCATCCAGAACTTATCCTAAGCCCGCTCCGCCTATAGATTGCAGGCGAGAAGTATACGGGATATATGAATCGCACCTAGAGGATCCAAGATACGGACACATCCAGACCGGCTGGCTTTTTGTGTCGTGAGAATATATAGGGGGAGCCTTTCTTGAACATCCCTTCGCGAGGGACGGTATTGTTGTGCTCTTTTTTGTTCTAGGGCTGTTCTATCTTGGCGCTTACCACGGAGTACTGGCTGCTACCTCTGGAATAGTGACTACATACATGTCAAGTTTCAGCTTTCCACCATTGAACGACTGATCAAATCGCAAAAGAAAGTACTATAGTCTACTATAATTCACAAGTCGTCTTTGTAAGCCTCTGGGAAGTACCATAGGGAGTAGAGATGCCCTGTAGAAGGAGCGGAAGCCCGAGTTGGCCGTATTCCTACTATTAGGATACCCACGAGTACTGACGGGTCTTTGGCAAGTATAATCCGCCACAAGGTTTGAACACTTATACACACATAGGTGTCTAGATAATAATAATAATAATAATAATAATAATAATAATAATAGAAATAGAAACAAAAAACAATAATAAAAATAGTAAAGAATAAAAACAAGACCATAAAATAAAAATACAACGTACAACACCCCTTTGCATGACGATCACGCTTCAACCGAACAAAAGCGGTCAGCCAGAACGTATAGAATCCGGGGGAATAAGCAACGTTGACATCATGCCCATCGGCTATTCAAGGCCCAGAAGGAAATTTATGGGGACATAGTCGTCTGGATGGAATGGGTGGGTACCTACTTTGGAATTACTTCCGGGATGGGCATTTCCGATTCATCCCGACGGTCTTTGTTGTGTCAAGCTCTGACTCTCCCTATTTCAGCGTTAGGGATTGTTGTCTATCTGCTGTGTACTCTCTCTGTACTTCGGATATACTATGGAGTTAGTAGGTGATGTTTCTTACCTGTCTATCGCAATGTTTAGTACTAGTACTTGCTTGGAGACAGATCGACGCCAATGACCAATCGGAATCATGAGGGTTTAATGGCAAGTGGAGTCCCAACCCTTTACATCCAGACTCCGTACACACTGTACAACTGTTGAAGCGGGAATTGAACGGCCATCACGATTCCGATCCTTGAAGTAGAGGAGACATTGTATCAGGAAGTTTACCTGAAAAGAATTAAGTACTATTCCTACCTATCCTGAACAAACCGAATGACCAATTCAAAAATCACTATAAGAATATACTGTCGCGGATAGTATGGTATTACATTATTCAAGTAAACAAAGACGCCCAACCCTCTCCGACAGTCTGACCCATGGTATCACAAATCCTCCGGTCTCGCGTTTCTTCCCCCCTTCAGTTCTTCTGTTCAATCAGTATAAACATTGTTCTTCATCCGTGAATAGTAAGGGGGTCATGACATCATCAGCTGGACTCGAGGCATCAACGGCCAAAATGGGCATCTGGATACAATCTTCTTGTCGGGTAGGTGCCCTTGGAGGGTTTGAATTAAGTGTAGTCAACATCACACGGGCGGTAACATGAACAGAGATGAAATCACGGCAAAACGAGAACATCACATCAAGCGGGACTTCAATCCGGAGTATCACAAGGATGAAAAGACGAGGACTCGGCAAAAACCATCAACATATCATATACCGACGTTGATGTTCATGGTGGCAATCAGCCCCATTAGACGCTAACAGGCTCGCGTTCTTCTTCGCGACCCCGAGCCTCTCCGTCCACAGTGCTGGCGACTTCCTCACCGTCTTCAACATAGGTTGGGTGCTGATCAGCAGCAACCCACGAGTCCCGATCGCCCGTCATGGGTTGGTCCTGAGTAGAAAGGTCGACGCCATCGCGGTTCTTGCCGATAGCCTCCCGGCGACGTTGAGATAGGGTGCGCGTGCGCTGTGACACGTCGGACTTGACGGCGGCCTTGGAGGTAACCCAGTTGGCGAGTGCTGCTTCGCAATCCTGGATGATAGCCTTGCTGGCATCGTATCCATCGTACGAGGCGCGAGTTTCACCGGGGGTGACTGGAGTGTCGTCGACGAGATCCAGAAGGTGCTTGCCGTAGCCGGCGATGATGGCCACCTTCTCGCAGTGTTCCCGGAGTGCATCAAACTGGTACTGGAAAGCTGCCTTGAGCTTCTCGCGAGTGATATTGGAAAGCTGAGCCTCGGCCACGAGGGACTCGGCTTCTGCGCGAACGAGCTCTTGCTCGAGAACAACGATCCGAGGAGAGTTCGGGTCCTTGTACTTGAGCTTGGCGATCTCATCGGTGATCTTCTGCTTGCCTATATAGTTCGTCGTCAGGATCACTCTAAGCTATGGTACTTGAGCAATGAAGGTCAACTTACGGTCTCGGCTGGGCTGAACGGAAGCCTCGATGTTGCGAATGCTCTTAATAGTGACACGGTACTGATCATAACGGTCGACATAGAGATCTTCCAGCTCTCCAATTTCATAGAGCAACACGCCGATCTTGTCCGTGACGTCGGACACATCCTCATCACAGTTTTCACCCCAGATGGACAATTGTTGCTGTGATCATGTTAGTCACCATTCTAATGATTCGTGTGCAAAAATATCCCACGTACGGCAGTCTCCATGCGCTCCTTGGCTACCATTTCCATGCTACGCATGACATTCTTCTCCATCTTCACGAGCTGGGAGAGCTTTCTTGCAAGATCGGGTCCGAATGCGCCGGCGGCATTCTTGCGGAAGGCATGGCCTGGGCCAGTAGGCATTGTCAGCACCATTTGCGCAGCAGCTTCAATCGCTGCAGGGGGAGCTGCTCGCAAGGAGAAACTTTCATCTGCTGCGAGACAGCCGAAGGAGACCAAACACACTCACCGAAGCCGCCTTTCCCAATCCATCGGTTTGTCTTGGTCGTGGACACCGGCGGAGGCGGATTCTCAATCTGAGATGCGGTGGGCATGCGCGATTGGCGCATAGAATAGGTGCGATGCATAGCTACGGTTTGTATGGAAAGCTAGGTGCAAGCGAGCGAGATAAAAGGATATAGAGAAATCCGAAAAAAAAAATGTTTGGGAAAAATCGTCTGAAAATGGACGAAGTGGTTTCTTTGAAGGTTCGCTTTGCGCAGGAGTGACGTGTACTGGTGGAAGCAACGGGATGCGACGGAAGGGCGACGAGAGCACGAGGGGAAGGAACTGCAACCGAACCGACTTAGTGAGCGGACGGTATGGAATGGCGAAAATCGTATAGCTTGGAAAAATGACCCAGGGAACGGTAGAGGGTACTTTTGTTTTTTTTTTTTTGTTTTTTCTGGTTGAACCTCTTTTCCTGCCTTCGTTTCCCCCTTGAACCAAATGAAAAGAGAGCAGTGGATTTGGACGTTGCAACAGGAGAACCGCCGGTGACGTCGAGACTAATTGGGAGGCTAACCCGATTCGGAGATCACGTTAGGCAGTGATGAACAATCAGTTGACGAGCGTTTTCTCAATTGACGAATGATTTTCTAGGGACTCATGAACAAGCTGTTGCGGAAGATCGTCTTCTACACAGGGGGAAGGAATCTGCGGGGGAAAAAGAAGAATATAAGCTTGGGAGCAAAGCTGCTCGAGCTGTTTTAATGATCATCAAGAGCTAAGCCGTGATCTGCGACGTCATTGCGACCCAAACATTCCTTCCATGTCACTGATGTCATCGATTCCCGTCTCCGACAAACTTTTTCTGCTGTTTCCAACGTTGACGAGACGAAAATCTCAAAAGGATGTCATCACACACTTGAGGTTACCTTGTCCATGACCCTCCTTCAAAGATCTTTTTTTTTTGGTTCATAAACAAGGAGATCGATCGTTGTTCCAATTCAACCATATCATAGCGTTTCACCCGACATGACACGCCTTGCAACGATTTGTACCACCACGCATGATATGTGATATGCGACTAGTATATAAGGTTAATTTTAATTCCAGATCCAGGTCAAATGATCGACTATCTCCACATTAGGGATCGTCGTCAGATCGCATCCCGAGCTATTGGCTCCAAAGCAATATTATGTGGCTATGACTAACTGTGGGGTTGTGCGCCATCTAACTACGTATAGTCTATTCGAGCTTCTATTACATAACAATCTGGGAAGGAAGAGAGAAAAGAAAAAAGAAAACTAAGAGCGAGATAGCCTTAGTCACTTCTTTGTAATAGTTCGTCGGGTCCTTCGTTTCTTCCCGGTGACATCGTCACCACTCACACTATCCTTAGTTTGTGCACTCCGTTTAGTGCCCGTACTTTTCTCCCCTTGTGGAGGTTGGGAGGAGCCAGTGCTTTCCGAATGCTCCACCGAGTTGGTCTCAGCTCCGGTACTTTGCTTAGATCGGACTGTCTCGCTCCCGGCTTCTTGTCGAAGTCGGTTGAATGCTTTTTCCATTCGGCTCTGGCCTCCGCTGCGGACACGCGGTGCAAAAGCACCGGCCCCTTGCGGCCCCTGGAAAAAAGCCGTGATGTTAGACTGCGTGCCTTCTTGTTCTCTGCGGTTCATGTCACGGATAACTGGCACCAGGACCTCATCGGTCCGTTCCTGACTCCATCCGATCGTCGCCATCAGAAAATTACGCAGACCATGTAAATCGGGAACTCCCCATTGGAAGGCAGATGGATCCGAGTCGACTTCGGGTTCGAGATATGCCACATCAACCTGGCCATTCGGGAAAGAAGGTGACAGGAAGATTTTCGAAGCCTGCTTCCTAAACTTCTTGTAAAAAGCTGCATGCTCCCCGTCGGATAAGTTCATTCCCATTTGAACTTGGGTCCACCAATCGCGGAACTCCTCCAGGCTAGAAAACTCAGTGAGAATTTCCAGCGCTGTAACAGGTCCAATGCCGGGTATACCTTCGGTATAATCACTGCCAAGTAAATGGGCAAAGCTGATAAGTTTCCTTCGATGGAGGGCGTATTCTTTCTCCAGATCAGAAGTAAGATAGCATTCGACAAATTTGCCCTGGTTGAACATGTTCTTATAGACGCGTGTACCTCCAAACAAGAAGATATCGCTATCATCAGTGATAATGCCGTCGACGAGGCCCAATGCTACCAGCTCTGCACATTGAGCCTCAGCCTCCATTGGCGCGGTAATGTATGGCAGGCCGAACAGCGTTAGGAGTTGCTGACACTCAGAGATCATGATTTGAGACACTTCATCGGCGTCCCTGCGATCCTTTCTTTGTTGGGACCGCAGTTGTTTGAGCTCCTGCTCGTAATCAAATGTATTCTCGGTGTGCGACGTAGAGTTCAATGTAGCCGCGAATCGGACGTGCTCTTCACCTTCGGCTGCAAGCTGTCGCATTAATTCCTCATCTTCTGGATCTGAAAACCCATCATCTTCCCCGATGATACCTTCAAGCTCATCAAATCGATGGCTTTGTGATTCCATCTCAGGAACAACAGTATCGGTTATCGCCTCTTTTGGGTGTAGTTCAACATCTTCAAACTCGGGAGATGGCGACGGTTGAGTACGCAACAGGTCTGCCTGCTCATCCCTACTAGACTCTATATCATGGGAAGTAAATGGTCCATGGGCAGCCTCTGCAATAGAAACTCGTCCGGAGATGTCGGTTGCTTCAGTAGCTGCCGGAGGAATCTCACGGAATGCAGCCGTAGTATCCTTTGTCGGAGCCTCTGTCTTGTCCAGCGTTTGTGTAGCCCGAGGCTGTTTGCACTCCTCAGAGTTCGCTTCCAAGTCAACCACCTCATTTGTGCTACGAAGCATATCAACGTCAATGACTTTTGGGGTTTGATGATTTTTCAGAAAAACATGATCTGGGGTTATGGTACTATCCCGATGAGTTTCCAATGGGCTAGCACCTGCATCAGTATCGGCAATAAACTCGGCAGTCGAGCTCCCTCCAGAAAACCAAGGTGGTAACGGTTGTTCAGCTTTTGTCTTCTTTGCTGGTTCTTTTTCGAAGCCACCAGCATGCTGATCAAGCTCTTCATATTGGGGCTTTTTCGTTTTGAAGGGCTTGTCAAGCTTGATAGACTCAAAAGGAAGAGGCCCATCAAAAGGATTATTCGAGATTGGGTCTTTCTTCGCCCTTTTCGACTGCGCTAGGGCAGTTGCAAAGTCTAAGCCATCGTCATCGCTGTCGGGACTGAAACTTGGTATCGTTTCTTTGAGCGGAGCTAGAGGAGCACTGCTACGGTTGATCGAGATGTCTGGCATGTCGCTATCATGTTGATCTAGAAGAGACGTGGGTCTCAACGACATTTCTATCGCTTTTTGAAGATCTTCATCTTGATTCTCTCCATCCATCTCAAATATATCGTCAATAGCACGACGTTCGCGGTGATGTAGTCTTTCGTGTCCATCCTCCTGCACGAAAAGAGAGTCATCTTCATGGCTCTGTGGCAGACCTGGAGTGGCCCTTCGCCCGGTATTCTCCTGCACCTGCTGTCTGATCGAAGCATCGAAGATGCCTTCCCGAAGGAACTCAAGTTTGGGAAGACGGTTGAGGCCTTCTATGGGCACATCCTCAAAGCCCCCATCATCTTCCGAATCTTCATCCTTCTCCGGAAGAATTTCTTGCTTGCCATACTGGTCGACATCGATAGGTTTGTGCTCCCGCCCTTCATCCTTATTTCCTACGACACCCAGGACCCAACCACCTTCCACGGCGTTATCCTTGACCAACACGTACTCCTTACCGCGCTCTCCAGCAATCCGCTGGCCCGAATTATAAAAAGCATCTTCACCATTCATGCCGTTTATATTCATCAGACGTTGAGTAAGGTCATTCCTTTCTTTTACCCTCTCAATTTGAAATTTTGAGAAGGCCATGCGATCTGGAAACATGCTTTCCAGCTGTTCCTTAGAATAACCCATGCGCAGTCGACTTCGTAGTCGCGCGGCATTTAGGATATTATATCGATCCGTGGCAGGAAGGCTCATGAAAAATGGGCTGTCGAAATCGATCTTGGAGAAATCGTATAGGTTGATGTCTTCACCTCTGTAGAACTGTTTCGCATATTCCTCAAGTTCTTCACGAGACATAATCCGTGGATCGTTCGGAGCTCCCATCTCTTCCAGTGAGACATGCAAATCCGGGAGATGGTAAGCATCCTTTTTCCTGAATGACCGAGCTTGGTGCTTCTCTTTCTCGGTCATACCAGCATCTTCGACATATACCGGATTATCTGGGACTTCCTCTTGCTCTCTGGGCGCACCATCTCTGCGTCTGGCTGCCTCTTCCTCCGCAGACCTTTGCAACTGTACGGCAAGCAGCTTCCCGGCGGTTCGTACGGCATCCTCTCTGCGACCCTCCCGTCTCTTCTTCCTGCCAGCTATTGTTTGTCTTTTAAGAATCGGGGCACCACCGTCAAACACGAAAACTGGCTTTATTCCGAAGTAAAGCAGCTTGCAGATGCGACGGAAGAAGCCAACGACATGAGAGTTACGAAGAGCATTCCCTTCTTTATCACGTACAGCTTTCAAGAACTGATATATCCAGATCGAAGCATCAACCGCTAAGCGTTTCTTATTGAGTGCCTCTAATTTTATGGGCCGCGCACAAGGTTGCAAAACGGTCCAAAGCCCATGGACACCCATGCTGACTTAGGAATGGCGGATCTAAGGTTGCGTCATAGTAGTACCTCGACGACATGGCCTTGTGCCACACTCATAGACCAGACCGTAGACAGTATACGCGGTCTCAAGGGCTAAGGAAAGTCAAGAGCCTAACCGGTGAGACAATGATAAGTAAACTCCCTTGGCTCGTGTCGCCACTGCGTCGACACGAGAACCGCGATATCACGTGCCCTATTATGCCTCTTCTAGAAAGTTGCCTAAGGCGAGTGCATTACATAATCCGTCTCGCTATCGATAGAAATTCTGGGAATTTTGGAAATGATAATCGAGGCATGTGGGGAAATTTAAATGCTGCTGTACAATTTTGAGCATCAGGAAACATTTCATTCAAAAACTCACGGCCTTGCAAACTAATGTCTTGTTCCTTGCCTCAATGCATCCACCGCTCGAGGTTGGTGATCGATATTCAATACCGCACAATGCAACCGCTAATCCCACCCTTAGCACATAGATGTCTGCCTCCCTGTAACTGCACTGAAAGCACTTAATTTGGGAGATGCAAGACTTATTTTGCAAGGACAAGGGCCGTACTCTCGCCTAATTGATGATGGGAGTGGCAAAATATTGGCCGAATTAAAGACCTTCAAACGAAACAACGTTCATGGGTTCATAGTTCTGGATCAGAAAGACGAGAAAACAGGTAATTCATACGTGCAATTTCTAGCCTGGGGAGGTGAATCGTTGAGAATCCTCGACTTGTATTTTGCTAGAAGTGAGGCTGCTGAAGGCCCTGAGGTGTCCTTGACTCCAGTCAGTGCGGAATATCTAGCACCAGATTGGATTCTGGCTGGGTGTGCGCCTGACTCCATAAATGGAGTGGATAGAGCTTACGTGCTGACTGCCCATAATAGTCTCCTTGGGCTTTATGTGGTGCATGGAGGCTCGCCGAAATATCCAAAATCGATTCATCTTCAGCAGCTCGTTGCTGGAGTCAAGTCTATCCTCTACTCAGCTGAAACTATATCATATTCGGCGTCGCGCGTGCTGATTGCTGCTGGAACCGTCTTTGGTGAGGTGATAGTCTGGTCTTGCTTTCTAGACGAAAGTGTGCATCTTAGACCCAGTGCTGTTGGCTCCATCCATCATTTCTTCACAGGCCATGAGGGATCTGTTTTTGGGGTTCGGATATCTCCTGCAATTGCCTCTTTACCTGGTCGCCACAATGGACGGCTCCTGGCGAGTTGTAGCGATGACAGAACAGTCAGGATATGGGATATCTCAGACTGTGAGGATGCATCCCCTAACGATCCTTCAGCCTATTCGACGGATGGTTTTGAACTTCGAAGCACCGGCTTTGGTGGAGCAGCTATTGGCGATGGCCTCGGCTCGGAATCCTGTGTGGCGAGCGCCTTTGGCCACAAAGCTCGGATATGGAGTGTGCATTTCTTGCCAACAGGAGCTGAAGATCGGTCCAGTATGAGCCTGCTCTCACGTGGCGAGGATGCAACTTGTATAGTCTGGAATCTCAGTTGGGAGCCATCTTCATCCCCGAGGCCGAAGTTTAGTTTAGGCCAAATCTCTTCCTGGCATAACCATACCGGAAAGCATATCTGGTCCCTATGCATGCGCAGCACTGCTAAGGATACAACGGTGTATACTGGTGGTGCCGATGGTGCTGTAAAAAGTTTCAAGGTAGAGGCGGATGCGGAATGTGGACTTGTTTTGCCGAACAGAAACAACAGCATTACTGCCTCGGCTGGTCCTGGAATATCTCAATCTAGGGTCGATAAATCAGTTAGGGCGTTCACCTTTGTTACACCAGAGCATTTCCTAACTACCACTATACGTGGCGAGGTGCAGGTCTGTTGGATCAGCGCGGAGGCTTCGACTGAAAGCATCATTCTCAAGGAAACACTGTTCCTTGAAGAAGATCTCTCATCTTATTGTGCTATAACTTCCCTACCACAGTGTGGCATTGCGCTTTTGGGCAATTCACAAGGATTAATCCGACTTTACAATCACAACACCAGATCACTGCTCAGAATTGTCGAAAGTGGCCCAAGGCCATTGGTGCTATTTGCCCTTGATTATAAACGTGGTGCTTCCGATTCGCATGAGACCCTGTTCTTCATCTCATCCCACCATGAACAAGGCCATTTGAGTCTAGTCAAGATATCACTATCAGAAGGCGAGGTATCGCAAATGGAGACCATAACTTTAGCTCTTCCTCACAGTTTTGGAGTAACGTGCGCATCCTTGATTTGTGGCAACCGATATGTGGCTCTAGGAAACACACACGGTTCCCTTGTCTTATATCGCGTTGCGAACACGATGCCTATTCAGCAACCCATCTGGAATCGTAAGATACACTCTCGGGAGGGTATCAGTTGTATATCGTCGTTTTCATCGCTTTATGGAGAAAACAGCCCTTCCCTGAATTATTTCTTGACTTGTGGTCGATCTGGAGTCTACTGTGTCCACGAGGTGGAGGCTGAGGAAGATCCACAAAACTTGCCTACAGTTCGGACGATCCATCGCTCCAATGCTACTCGGACCATTGAAATAGAGGGTGCTTACATTGACAGACAATCCAAGGATCTTATGCTTTATGGGTTTCATGGGAAAGAGTTCGTTCTGTGGAACGAGACCACACAATCTGAAATTGTCAGACGCTTATGTGGTGGTGCGCATCGGAGATGGGCCTTCCAACCCAACCCGGATGAGCCTGGGTCCGGCATGTTTATATGGCTCCAAAAGAACCTCAATGTTCTTCAGACTCGGGGTGATGCTAACCGTACTTTGCGTGCGGGAGCACATGGAAGAGAGATCAAGGCCATGGATGTAGCTCACACGGCAGACGGTCCTCTCTTTGCAACTGGGGCGGAAGATACTATCGTGCGTATATTTGCACCGACAGAGCCAAACGAAGAAAAGCTGTGGGGCTCCTTTAAGTGTCTGCGGGTCTTGAAAAAGCATCAGGTCGGACTGCAGCAAGTTCGCTGGTCAAAGAAGGGAAACTATCTCTTTACAAGTGGCGGGAGCGAAGAATTCATCGTTTGGCAGATTCGATCGATTCCCTTGTTTGGACTTGCGACAAATGCAGTAGCCTCAGTTAGGGATGATCCGTTCTCTGATCTTCGAGTGACCAGTTTTGATGTGTTGCAGGTGGATGAGAATAGCTCGGATGGCAGCTTCCTGTTCTGCCTAGTATATTCTAACTCCACGCTGAAGGTAAAAGAATTGGTGGCCATTTCTCTCTTCTGCCAAGCTAAACTTTTGTAGATATTCCACTATTCTTCGACGGTCGATGGTGGCAACTTCACCTTACTGGCCGAGGGCACATATACAAGCAATTGCCTCACCGAAGCATGCTTCCTACTGCGCGACTCTACCCTGAGTTTGCTGACGGCATCTACAGATGGATATTTCACATTCTGGAACTTAACCTCGGTCTTGGAGCCGTACTACACTATCTCTTCGGCTCTTCGCCTGAAACAGCCCATCGGCACGTTTCCAATTACGCCGGGGAACATCTCATGCGAATACAGATACCAAGCTCATTCGAACAGTATCAAATGCCTGGAGCTTGCTCATATATCGGATGCAGTTTCTCTTGTCGTTGCTGCCGGTGACGACAACGCACTAACACTCTCCATTCTGAACACAAACTTCACGAGCACTGAAGCTGGCGATGCTACCACAATCACAATCCCCGACGCCCATGCAGCATGTATCACAACAGGCAAGATACTCAAGCAACGCCAATGTCCGGACAAGGGAACAATGCAGGCCGTCATTGCTACTTCCGGTAATGACCATCGGGTCAAGATCTGGTGCGCCGAGGTAGATGCTAAGAAGATCGGAGCGGACGCAATACAAGTGCAAATGATAGCAGATAGATACAGCTCCGTAGCCGACATATCATCTCTGGGTCTCATTTGCGAGGCGTCGGGAGAGACCAAGCTTCTTGTCTGTGGTGTTGGCATGGAAATGATGGGCATCCAACTACCTTAACTTGTGCAACCTTGGTTACGATGTGATGTTTGCATGGATTGGATACAGAAAATATAGAGTTTCAATATATATTAAGGCAGTTCTCTAACCCAGTATACTACTAATCTAGGATAACATCAGTGTATAAGCAGAATATGTCCTGTGAATGTAGGTGATAACCTGGGTGAGTATGCCGAGAACACATTCATGTCGCCGCAGCGATAGGGTTACAGACATGCAGGCATGTGCTAAACTCCCTACCAAACTCATCTCACACCTTACCAACTTGCAATCCAGTTCACATCAAGATGCAGTTCTTCAGTCTGAAGGAGAGATACCATGCGGTACGCATGACGCTCATCACACGTTGGCGTGTATGTAAACAAGCATGCCGCCAGATATTCAGACAAGATAGACCCTCAAACCCTACCATCTCTGTGGTGGGAATGGCAACACAATATGGCTCCACGCTCCTTCAGCGAGATTTCCTCCAGGAACTCTTATCTTGCCACTGTCGTCATTCTCCTGCGTAAGGCTAATATATGGTCACCCTCTCCTTTCTGTGGTCGCTGGCTAACTTGCTACCCAGAGCAGCAAAGACCATGAATCTCATCGAAGGATCTGGTGTCAGGCATTTGTGCAGCGTCCTTCCTGTGGATGATCCAATCTGGTTTCAGCAGACGTTACCCACCATCACAGATACCGATGCTCTCTTCAAGGAACACGCCATTTCGCTAGTTTCTCGTGCTGCAAAGAGTGCCATTGCAGAATGGGGCGGTTCCATGCAGGACATCACTCATATTGTAGCTGTGACCTGTACTAACACTGCAAACCCGGGTTTTGACATCACCATATGTAGTACACTTGGCCTTCGTCCCACAGTCCACCGCACTCTGTTGCATGGCCTCGGCTGCGCCGGTGGAGTTTCAGCCTTGCGCATTGCCCATGACCTTCTCGCCGGGGCGGCTCTTCAGGGGCTGCCGGCGCGAGCTCTTGTTGTCTCGTGCGACTTACCGACTCTTTTTGCCCGTGCAGAGCTCCACCGTATCAACGTGGACCAGGAAGTGGGATTTGGACTGGGCCGATTCAGCGACGGCGCGTCTGCCTTAGTGCTCACCAACTGGATACGCACCCAAGTACTCGAAAGAGCCCCCATCTGGAATTTACTCGGGTTCCGAAGCGTGATCATCAATGAGTCTGAGGGATACAGTGAGCTGAACGTTGGACCTTTGGGTGAGTACATCTGTTCCTCCACTGTAATACCTAGTCTCCAATGATCTCGCGGTTTGCCTAATGAACTTCTCATCACCAAGGATTCAAACCGAATATTTCGACTTTTATCCCCAGGCTCGTCTCGACTGAGTTATTTTCCAATTTCACAGCACTCGTCAACTCCGTTCCAAGCCTTCGCACTGATCCCGCTCGTGAGTTGCCGAACTCCTACAATTGGGCTTCAGATTTCCCCGGTCGTGCTTCCTTGAAGTATGCTCAAGGAGCATTGGATCTCCGGAAGTCCAATCTGTTCCATAGCCACGCAGTCTACAGGTCTAGGGGCAGTACGATTTCCTCTTCTGTGTTGAACATACTCGATTTTATGAGGCACCAGGGCCATGGCACTGAGCATAGCGCAAACGGAAGAGACAGAGTCATCGCGTTGGCAATTGGACCGGGAGTTATCTTGGAGATGGCAGTTCTGCACAAAGCCTCCACAAAGAACATGCGATATGCGGCACTTTGGTGCGAGTGATTACTACTTTAACTCTCGTGGAGCAAGCTTTGTGACTGCTGTTTTGTGGATCTCGATTATGGCTTGTACTGATTTTGGGGCTATGTGTGTACCAAGTTAGCTCTTTCAATGCAATCACATCCAACTGATGAACACTACCTATAATTGTGCTAGTCTTGAAAGTAATAGTCTTTTCCCCGCACACAGGATATATTCAAAACAATTGACCGCGAACCACCGCTATACCTCTGCAGCCAATCCGCTATCTTGGTGGATGAAAGGTTGATATAAAATGCCGTGACCAAAACAGCCTAGGGTCCGAAACCCCACCGGCAGTTGAAACAACGTCTAACAACTGCATCCATCCATTGCGATCTTCGCTCCCAATTTCCCCCCGGGGTAAAGAAAACACTGTTCTTCAACACGCTGCGTCTCGGTGAAATTATTTCCGGCACCTAACGAGACCACACCTCCCAGCGAAGCCGTTCCGGGTAAATGGAGCTTTGGTCTCGGTCGCCGATGGACTCCACCTGGTAGTACTGAATGGATAATGACTACCTCTCTTCAAACATGCATTCCTTAGTTATTATTGATCGAGCGCGCCCCCTGTGACGTTCTCGGTGGAGTGTATAAGTTAGGTTTGCCGGACCGTGAGCATGCATGTCTATAAAAGCGTGGACGGAGACCCTACGCTCCCTGCAAGAAGAAGAGCAGCTGTTTCCAATCAACTAGGCATCTTTGCGGGACAGTATCTCTTTACCATACTAAACCGTATCTCCGCCATGAAGTTTCTCGCCTCCTGGCTCATGGCCAGCGCCATCTCCACGGTTGCTGCGCGGCCGTGGCCGAGAGCTGTAAACACTACAAGTACTTACTTCTTTACATTGTATGGAGAAAATTCTCCTCACGGGCTATTCTAGACCACTAACTTTGACACAAGTGGCAACTCATACACGCAGACCGGCTTCAGCACCACTGGAGAACAACCCTCTCCTTCGAATCCCATGGGAAACCCCACCTTGGGTGAGTGTTGAAGCGTTGCCCCGATGGTGGCATCCGTATATTGACGTCAAGACCAGGAACCGGCACCACCACCGGGGGTGAAAACTGGGTTGGCTATCTGACGACGGCGGAGAATGCGTCCCTCGTCCTCTCGTACAATCTAGCCGTGGGCGGTGCGAGCATTGATAATTCACTCGTTCAGGGATCCACAGACGTGGACCTTGTCTCCCAGGTCGACATCTTCGACCAAACATACAGCAACAAGCCGGCTTCTGCGCCCTGGTCGGCGGAGAATTCCGTGTTCGGGTTCTGGATTGGAATCAACGAGTAATGTCCCGTGAACTCGTTTGAGAAATAGATCCCGTACTCACTGTTGAGCTTAGCATCGGCAATGCATTCTATAACACCGATGCCGACACGTTCACCCCAACGTTGATCGCACGGCTTGCTTCGCTGGTGGAGCGAATCTACAGCGCTGGAGGTCGCAAATTCCTTTTCCTCAATGTGCCTCCTACGAGCCGAAGCCCCATGTTCATTAACCAGGGCGAGGCCACTGTTGAGCAGCATGCCGCTTATTTGGCCGTTTATAATAAGAATCTTGAGTCGATGGTGGAGGGGTTCAAAACCAACCATACAGACGTAAGTATAGTCGCGGGTGTGTTAAGAGCATTTGGAGACTAACCGAGCCTGTTGCTAAAGGTTACTGTCGCACTCTACGATTCTTGGTCGTTCATGACAAAGGTCCTTGATCGTCCCGCAGACTACGGTTTCCCCGATGCTACTTGCATCAATGACGACGGTTCCTCCTGTATCTGGTGGAATGACTACCATCCTTCTGCGAAATATCATCAGCTCCAGGCGGAGGATATGAAGGCCGTTCTGCAACCTCTGGGGGCATGGGTAGCTTAGGGGATGTGCACTGTACATAAGCTTATTGGTTTTGATTGGATGTGTAAATGAAAGTGTTTGTTGGGCATCATTGCTGTTCGCGTAGTGTCTATCGCTGTGTTTCTACGTAAAGTGGTATCCCTTGTCAACTGAGCATTGAGACAAGACCTTGATACTCTGGTTTAATTTAGAGTCACAGTACTTACACGTGTATGGCTTAGGATATCATACGATAGGACCCTTGCATATTTTGGTTTCATGTCGGAAGCATCGTCACGATGCATATGACATTAAATGCTACAAAGGACACGAAAAACTAGAAATATGCAAGTAAGCCTGAAGAGACCATACCCAGAAAGGCACGGACTGGCAAACACTACTGCATCTCCCCAGCCTTCTTAGGCTGTCGATCGCTGTCACGCGTACCTGAAGATTTCATCTCCGTGGCGTTTCATCCAAGGGCCAAGACGGCAAAAGGGAAACCCTAAATAATTTCCAACTTTTGTCCCCGGATAATTCTGATACTCGTCGACTGATCTAGTCGCTGCTCTCGCCACTCTACTCTTCAGATAATTGATTAAACGTGGGTCTTGTTTTCTCGACAACCGAGATGTTAATGGCTTTGCATTCCCCACGGGCCGAAACCCCGACATCCAGCGTGTTCGTATCTGATCGGCATGTTTCAAGTCATGAATTCCACGAATCAGTTCATGCTATCCATGGTAAAAGGAAGAAGACCCGGCGCAAAGATGTTCTGAATTATTTACTTCTCCCGGAGCCGATTGAGAGGACTTGTCGGACTTGTGTATATATAATCTTGTCAGTTCCCCCAGCCATGAGGGAGTGTTGCACAAGCAGTTGATCTGTTGTCGATCCTTCTATATTCCTCTCCTTTGTCCTCATTTGTTGCATTCCGAGCTCTCGTTACGATGAAATTCCAAAACCTCTTCTTTGCTGCCGTAGCTGGCTCTACGGTTGCTGCTCCTCTGGCTAAGGAGCAGAAGAAGAGGGATTCAGTTTTCCAATGTTCGTTAGACCCGTTTTCTCTTCGTTCCTCAGATTTTTATTGTGAAATAACTGTGCTAACAAGCAATGCAGGGTTTGGCGCCAATGAGTCAGGAGCTGAATTCGGCGAGAACAACCTCCCTGGCGTATGGGTATGTGGCCTCGAGCAAATGATCACCATGCGCAATGAGATGGCTGTTCATCAACTGAGTGTAATTGCTACAGGGTACAGATTATATCTTCCCGGATGTCTCGGCCATTACCACCCTGATTGATAAGGGGATGAATATATTCCGTATTCAATTCAAGATGGAGAGGTTGGTTCCGGACTCGATGACGGGGGCATACGATGAGGCCTACCTGACGAACTTGACAACAGTAAGTGGCTGATCCGCCCAGAGAAAGATCTAAGGTGTTGACGAGACTTACAGGTGGTCAATGCCGTCACTGATGCGGGTGTGCATGCTATCCTGGATCCCCATAACTATGGCAGATTGTGAGTATCTCGAAGGCCACAAACTAGTGTATCGGGGAGGGTTAAACATGAGAATGACGTCTAACTTGATCGTGACAGCAATGGCGAGATCATTTCCACTGCATCCGACTTCCAAACATTCTGGAAGAACCTGGCAGGACAGTTCAAGAGCAACTCTTTGGTTATCTTCGATACCAGTAAGTCGGCCCAATCGATTTCATTCCCAAGATCGCATTGAGCTGGATAATATTGATTCTAACACCAACTTGCAGACAATGAATACCATGACATGGACCAAGAGCTGGTTTTGAACCTCAACCAAGCCGCCATCGACGGGATCCGAGAGGCTGGCGCCACGGAGCAATATATCTTCGTTGAAGGTAACTCGTGGACCGGGGCCTGGACCTGGACCGATGTGAACGACAATATGAAGAACTTGGAGGATCCCCAAGACAAGATCGTCTACCAGATGCACCAGTATTTGGACTCGGATGGGTCAGGTACCTCCGAGGCCTGCGTGTCTGGTACGATTGGCCAGGAGCGCGTCACCAGCGCTACTCAGTGGCTCAAGGACAACAACAAGGTCGGTATCATCGGCGAGTTCGCCGGTGGAAACAACGACCAGTGCAAAACCGCCGTGAAGGGAATGCTGGATTATCTGGCGGAGAACACCGACGTGTGGAAGGGTGCGCTTTGGTGGGCTGCTGGTCCATGGTGGGGGGATTATATGTACAATCTGGAGCCTCCAAGTGGAGTTGCGTTCACGGGAATGATGGACGTTCTGCAAGCATACCTGGGATAGGAACACTGCGAAGGACAGAGTGTGAGATGATCTCAGGTTGTCATTCTTGCCATTCCGGTGCTGAGCACATTGCGGATAGTTCTATTTCAAAATATTCTAAATTTCACGGTCGGCAAAAGAAAACGGCAAAGTACGTCTGTACACGTAAATCAAGTTGTTGACGGTTCAAGCGATAAACTCGGGAATACTTCTGACATGAATGGAATGACCTACCGATTCGTAGGGCATAGACCAAGAAGCACAGCCCCGGTCCGTGGATGGGTACGAGTCTAACCCTGTACAGTCATCTGGTGGCCAAGCGTGGATTAATAATGGGATTTTTTTTTTGTCAAGAGACACAGGAATCACTCCACTATGTCGGCAGTGTCGTTCAATTAAAGAGATGCCTAAAGGTTAACCGTTAGCTTGAATTCGCAAGTGCCTGGTCCTTGCATGCATCTATTGCTTGCCTACAGATGCTGCTGACCGGCCTTTGACTGCGCGATCACCATGATGGTACTGGTCAAAAATGACGTGAATGAATCGTTCAGAACAGTTCCATTGATGTATGGAATTAATTCCCCCGCCAAAATTTCACTTTGAGGGCTGAAATGAGGTGCCTGATTGATCCAGTGGGAGAATTTTGTTGGATCCAGTGGAACGGGGAGGGATCCATCTTTCTGCTTTCCCTAATCGGGTATGCCGTGGACTGCCTTAAGGCAGCAAGCAGATCTTTGAGAAAGGTACGGAGCACAGAGTACTCCGTCCCAGTAGTAGTACTCAGTTTGTTTGTGGTATGGAACAAGTCAAGCTGCCAAGCTTGAAATAGGGAAGCCTGCCTGCGCCTTCCACTAAGTAGTCTAGAAGGATGGTTATTTTAATACGAAGGCCGTGTTGTGGTCCACCATGCCTCAGATCAGTTTCAATTTGACAACTTTAATTCCGATTGTGGTTCTCTATTCTGATCGGTAGATAGGGTACCAGATAGGGATAGTCTGCTTTTACAAGGGATCGACGACGACTTCCTACGAAATCTCGTAATGCTAAGACGACGACGCGTAGGACTCCAGCCACTTATGACGTGGCGGTAGGGCTGCGGTGACCCCGCCACGAGGCTCGAGTGGCCCCGATCCGGTTTAGCGCCATACGACTGGTCCCGTTGGACTCGTATGGTAAATAAACCGTCCCGGAGTTGCGGTGGAAACCTCGCATGCATTTATAGAAACAAAGCGTGGCGTAGTCCTCCACCGGATCCCCTGATTGGTCTGACGATCCGCAACAATTAAAAAAGATTAAAAAAAAAACTCACCTGCGCCTCCCCAGCAAAGGAAAGTTGATACTGGGGGACTGACGATCATCGGGCAGCCCATCTTAAAAACAACGCGATTCTCTCCCGTCTGACAACTTCCTGCCATCTTATTTTATCGATTCATTCAATTTACTCTCTTAACTACCCGTCCTTTACTCACGGTCGGTTTCTTTCATCTATCTCTCTCTCCCCCTTACTGCCGTCACATCCACCGGAATCTTCGCCATACATCCACTCAGATTCACACATAGAACAACTTCCACATCAGCACCGTCATCATGGGTAAAGGCGGTCGGGTTTTGTGTATTATCACGCCGTATGCACTCACCATCGCTTCGTTGGTATGCCTCATCATCGTCGGGCTGGGCTGCACAAATTCTGGCTCAAGCACATTAAATGACCTCTACTTCTTTCGGGTAAGCTTATTTCCCGTCTCGTGCGATCGGGAAACCCCGACTAACAATATCTTCAGGCCGATCTACAAAACATGACAACAACCGCATCGAGCAAAAGTACAGTATCCCAAGCGCTCTCCGATGCCGGTGTGACCGTGTCAGATGGAGATATCTCCGCGGCCTTGGAACAGGTTCAGAAGCAGTTTGACCTTAAGGACTTTTACAACATTGGTCTGTGGGGCTACTGTGATGGAAATATCACCAACGACAAGTTCGAAGTTTCGGAGTGCTCGAAGCCTAAAGGAGAGTTCTGGTTCAACCCCATCGAAGTCTGGAACTTGGAGGAGACCGGCGTCGAGAATGGCCTCCCCAGTGGCCTGCGCAAGTCTTTGAACCTCTACAAGAATGTCTCCAAGTGGATGTTCATCGCCTATATCGTCGCCTTCGTCGCCACGGTTGTCGAATTAGTCGTCGGTGTCTTCGCTATCTGCAGTCGCTGGGGGAGCTGTGTCACCACGCTTGTCTCTGGCGTTGCTTTCCTCTTCACTGCCGCTGCCTCCGTCACCGCGACGGCCATGTTCGCCACCGTCACCGGCGCCTTCAACGAGAACCTGAAGGACTATGGTATGCACGGTAGCATGGGAAAGAACATCTATGTCACCACCTGGTTGGCTGTCGCCTTCTCCTTGGGAGCTGCTCTGTTCTGGATGCTCAGCAGCTGCTGCTGCTCCGGTCGCTCCCCCTACAACCACAAGAACACCCCCCGCGGTGTCACGGCCGAAAAGACCCCGTACACCTATGAGCCTCTCGGCCCTCAGGGCAATCAACAGGCCTCTCCCTACAATACCTCCTACCCGCCACCCCCTCCTCCTACTCAGAACCGGTCAAATGCCTATGAGCCCTTCCGCCACGTCTAAACGAAACCATACATGAGCCAACCCTTTTCAAAACAAGTCAACAAAGAACATTCTTTCTAAAAAAAAAATATCATGGTCATACAACTCGACCAATGACAAACTGATGATCCAATTGAGCTTTTATTGAAACATCTCAGCGAGGATCCTCATTTATGAACTTAATGCCAAGTTGCAGCATGGGCCGTTTGTGATTTGTATTGTACTTCTGTGTTTTATTATTCGGACTGGGTGGATAAATAATTCTCCCCTGTTTTCTTCGCTTGCTCTGGAATTTTACCATGGATATAGATTGATGTCAATGACATAGATACCCTCCTTCAATTTACCTTCTACTTTACATTGACATTATTCCTCACCGTGAGAAGTAACATTTTGAAATATGTCTCTAGATCTTGGAAATATCGCTTTCTGAAATGTGCTTTTGCACTCAGTGAATTTGGATTGCATACATAGGAATAGTATTCAGCAGTTGCTCAATGGTATAGCTTTCATTGTAAGTGTTCGATATCAGTTTGTGTTGGTACATAGAACGTAAAATATAAATACAGTCAAATCAACCCCCCCCCAGTGAATATGCATCCCTCATATCACCCCGAATTAGCCATCGAGAAGCAAACGCTGATAACAAAGATATTGTCTAAAACATTAAGCCCGTCATAAGTGAAATGCAAGAGGTATTGACAAAATACATATTTCAACAAGATAAGGGTAAAGTCTGGCACGATGATTCAAAGAATTAGAGAAAGCACAGGTAGAGAGTACTCGGTGCTCAAAACAAACATCATTCTGAAGGTTTGGAATAATACGGCAGCTGAAGCACTCCCTTTTCATCTGTAGGGATGCGTGCCCAGTGGCGACGGAACTTGCGCTGAGAGAAGACATTCTGGTCTGCTTGAGCCCACTTTTTAAAGGGAGTATCGGGGTCGTCGCACCAGCTAGGCTTTGTTGGGAAGAGATGTCGGAGGGAGAGAAACCAATTCTCGTTGGGACTCTCCGCTTCATTGGCTGCTTCTGATTCATTGTCTGAAAGGGGCGCCTCAAGCGCTGTGGAGGGTTCTTCGTCCCCTAGCTCAATACTGGCTGTTTCGTGCGTTTCATCCATAAACCCGTCTTCCTCGCTATTGATTTCGCTTTCTGCGACGACGGACTCGTTACCATCTAGGTTTCTCAATGTGCTCAGCTGAGCATTCATCTCGAAGCGCAACTGTTCATCAACTTCCGAGGCTTGTTCTTCGGCTTCTGAGTGCTGTTCGCCTGCCTCAGGTTGCTGCACCTCGACTTCTGAACGTTGTTCGGCGGTCTCCCCAGTATGTTCTTCGACCTCTGGATGTTGACTATCGCCAGGGGAACGCACTTTATCCTTCGCATGTTGAGTGGGTGACGGCATCGTAAATGACATTCTATCAACATCCGTGTCGGATTGGGTACTCTGGGTTGGTGGTCCAAAGGAGTGCGCGTGGAAGTTCGAAAATTTATCCACAAGGCTGGTAGTAAACGAAGTATCTGCCCCATTTCGAAGGAGTAATAGATCCACCGCCGCGTCAGATAGGTCTGGAGGGGTATCTTGTGCTGCAACCACTTTGATCCCTTCTGCGGTAAGACTTCGTTTCTTATGAGTCGGTTTAGAAAAGTGTGATGTGAAATAATCTTCATACCCTAGCGATTTCGTTTCCAAAGAAAGACATTGCTCCAGGTAATGCGGATATTCCTCCAAGTGCTTGATAACGAAATCGTCCCACAAGAAAGACCGCTGTAAGCTTCCTTTGTCTCGCACGGCTTGCAATATTGCACACAGCTTTCTGAAATGTGGGAAGTCTCCGACATAGCTTGGATAATCATTTCGAAACTTCTCATGTATCCTTTGCGCCTCCAAGTGTTCTGCAGAGTGACGAATATAATCCTGGCGACGAGAAACGAGACCAGAAGCTGATCTGGTTTCCCCTACAATGCCTGCATCTATATCCTCGTCCTGCGTGAATTTATGTCTTTTTGAAGAAGGTGCCTGTTCCTTTTCAACCTCAATGTTGGATGCAGGGCGCTTCAAAGATGATATTTCACTATGCCCATGCGTGTCACGTGCTAGATCCTGACTTGGTACTAACTCAGGCCCTTTCTCCTCAAACTCCATTGACGAGATCACTTCGTCATGAGATGAAAATGGCTTAGAGGAATCCAGAGATTCGAGTGTAGACCTAGGTATAGGAGCATTTGAGTCATGCTCTTTAGGTGCGGAAGAGTCGAAGACAAGGGCAGTGTGGGAGTTAGGAGTTGCATCTGGCATCGACCAGTCACCGGTACTCATCTGTGTCCCGAGAATGCCAATATCATTAGTTTCTCCAGCTTCATCGATCCTTGAGGCGTTTGTAGTCTGGGTGCCTTCTATATCATTGTCGTTAGTTGCGTATGTGTTGAAGATGCGTGATTGAGACGACGATTTGGCCACCTGGGATGATGACCGTTCTATGTCGTGCGATTCCAGACCGGCTTTATCCTTGTCCAGCCTCGCAGAACGTAGGTGTCTGAGATAAGCTAAAGGTGTTTCCAAAACTTGCACATGTCCTCGTGCGGGAAGCGAAGATCCGGAACTGACGATTCCTTGCTCCGACTGGTTGGTAAAGTTCGATTGTTGTGACCCACCAAGTGGACAGGGAACGGACGTATCCATGATTGAATCTTCGCTTTCTGCGTCAGATTCCTCTTGGATTTTGAGTCCAGCAGCCCTGGTATTGTTATGCACAGATCTAGAGATATGTTCCTCGTTCGCACTGTTTTCAAACGGCGAATTCTTCATAGGTAGATCATTGTCCTCTTGGATTGCGGAAGTCGCTCGCCTGTCTCGCTGATTTTCGCGCACTGGCGTCGAACCGGCTTCCTTTGGTTGTTTCTCTTCTCGTGTGCTGCTCGGTCTTGTAATACGTACGCCGTTGCGCTTCTTTATGGCCCCCGTCACAGGGCTACTGTCTGCCGGTAGTTGTCGAGGACGGGAAACACGTTCAGGAGAGCTCTCAGACCATTCCGAGGTTACGGGTTCATCATCAGATTCTGCATTCGTTTGAGCTGTAGAGCAGTTGATATCTGGCGAAAGTTCACGAGACTCAGCCCGCTCGGTCTCGAAGCCCCCTAGCCCTTCCCGTCCACTTAAACGACTCCTCTGCAGCGCAATTTGATTCCACTGGGCTAAAAGTTCAGGTGGTACATGACCCTTGATGGAGTCCCCGTGATCAGGTGGTACCCATTGACGAGTGTGCTGTTCAAGTAATATGACTTGATTTCTGGGTATCCTAATGTCCCTAGGCCTGATACCAGTCATACCATACCAGGGGTCGGTGTGACTAGAGCTTGAATTCTCAGATGGATGCTTCGTTTCAGGTAGCTTTTGCTTTGGTGATGACCGTGATGATGTGATGTTTTCATGATCCTGTCCATGTTGTACATCTATCTTGCCTGTCTTTCCCCCATCGGTTTCCGTGGTTGGCAACTCATGGCCTGCATCGTATCGTGCCTGGGAAGCTGTGTGACTATTATGCGGCGTAAGACGTATCAGTTCAGAATGAGAGTCTGACACAGATTCTTGAGCTCCTTCAACACGAGGAATATCACTGCAGCTTTTAGCAGCTTCTGGGATATTTTCTCGTACCTCGGTCCTGTCAGGATATTCGTCGTTGACTGAAATGGCAACAGTTTCATGCTCTCTATTATCTGGCAACCCACTGTCGGCCGGCTTGGTATGAGATTCCAAGTATCCAAGTAGCGCATTCGAAACTGCTGGGCTGCGCCTAGTTTGAATTACGGGCATTATGGACGGTACTCCCGAATCAACGAAGGATGTCTGAGCCTGGGACTGTAGAAACTGCTGTGAGACATGGTTTCCAGAGACGTCGTGAGTTTGAGATTTTGGAGAGTCATCCAAGGAATACGCCTTTGGCGAAGTCGCAGCCCGGTGGCTCTCCCGAGGCTTGATGGTTTCGAAAACTTTCTTCATAAAGCCTCGTATCCTTGCACTCTTCTTAATTGATTTGCCTTGTGGCGCGCCTTTGTACTTGCCCTTGTGCCACGCAATACGAAGATTCCTAACGTATAAATGAATTTTCGGAGCAGACATGGCATATTCGAGCACTATCTCATAGTCAAGTAGCTGGGCGAAATGATTTAGAGTTATGTCTCTGTTTAATGGACGCTGGCCCGCCTCCCTTCTGAGTGCCTCCAAAGACTCGTTTGCTAGCACTGCTTCGATCTGAGTTTTGAAGTCCGTTAATGTTGCCACACTCCTGCCCTCGCTTTCTTCCCACTAAAAACAATAGTGAGGTGGTTAGAATATAATATACCTTCAATGACTGGAAGCTTACATTGAGAACTATTGTGCACTGTGGAGAGTGATGGGCAAAACGAAGATTACTGCCATCGTCCACGAATTCCGAGCTGTCCATCTGCCCCTTGATGTAACGGGAAAGAAGGTCTTCAACCAGTGGCGTAACCCACGCATTCATTGAAGTCATTGTGTAGAAGCAGAAATTGCGTCAGAATAGAAAAGTGTCATGGTCTGGTATACAATAGTCCGGTAGAACGCATGACTGTCAGTCAAAATGCGGGAGGGACTTTTCTTTTAGACAGGTTGATTAGATAGAGAGTGGCCATAATATACATCATAGTTCAGAGAACTGCATCATCCATCCCAAGTGCTATTCATTCTTAAAGCATAAGGGTGAATCGATATATAAGGCGATGTTACCTCATGGATACTAGTAGTGTCTTTGTTCTTTCCTCCTTTCGGACTCGACGCGGTTTTAGACGCGCCTCACCGCCCAGGGATCACACCAGCCACAGTTACCTGCTACGCCACCACCACCACGTCATTGGGCAGCATGTCACGGGCATTTTGGCGGGCATCGTGCATGGAAAAGAAAAGTATCGGTCAATCTGTATCTCACCCCTCAAACGCATCTGTGCAAATCTTCATATCTCTATTTAAACTATAACTGATTGAAATCTGTGGTATATTCCTAAACCATGCGGAGCCAATCTTCCTATGCATGGATACGCTCAACACAGTCTCCAATCAGTTCCCTTCACGACCGATCGAGGTAGATGCGACGGACGTTTGCGATTATTTAAGCTTTACTGAGCCAAAAGTGATTTGCCTACGACGTCTAGCCTTCGAAGCTCTGCATTTCTCATCCGTCTAGATACGGCAAAGCCTTGATGGCTTCACAGAAGTCTCAAGGGACGTCAAGTCCATCCGCATCATCGATCTTTCTTCCGCTAGGACGACGGGGCTCTCGGGCATCTTTATCAACACACGCCGAACGGAAGGGCCTAAACGCTGCACTAGACCAGATTCATACGGCAGCTTATCAGTCCGATTCTCTTACCACATTTAACGACTTTACCAATCCACCCGCTCCCACTTCTGCGACTGAAGAAAAAAGCTTCTCAGGCGAGCTACAAGGAGGCTTGAGTGGGTTATATAGTCGGTTTCGAACTT